CGTTAATCTTGCGTATAATTGGGTGGAGTAATGAGCCAGAACTGTATGCCTACCAAAAGCCCTTTACGATTCCCATAGAGCAGATTATCCGCCTTCAATTACGTTTTCCTAGAAAAGCGGAAGCGACGATGAAGGATTCTTTGAAACTTTAGCAGTTTATTCCAATGTAAATGGGCGGGTTAATATTTGGATAAAAAAAGTTTTAAGATTGAAGACGATCGAAATTGTTCACACCTTACTTAGCAGCGGTAAGACATTTCAGTTACGAACAGTGCGAGCGTTAGCTTATAAGGAATGATATTGCAAGCAGAACTTAATTCAAAAATTTTCCGGGATAGAATGTCTAATGCTTCATAACCTGAATATATTCAGTTATAACGGCAATGAAGTCGCGAATCAATTGATTGAGGCCATAAACTTACTATGAAATTTGACAAGTGCATGCAAATTTGACTCAAAAATAAGACTCAAAAATAAGACTCAAAAATAAAAAATAATCCCGGGCTAGTAATCATATTGTCAAGAAAGTAGGAATCTCAAAGCGTTCCTTTGAGGCTTGCATATATTAAAAGCTTAGAGTTTTCTCTCACGCAAGACATCGATTTATTGTGAATAAAGTCGCTATAGAATATGATCCATTCGTGTGTAGCAGTTCAGACGAAACTGCCAAAACAGTAACACGAAGACTGGAGTGAACAGATTCAAACTCAACGCCCAGCACAGCAATACATTAATACATTAACGGTTTCTGAAATTAATTTCCGTCAGATATATATCCTATACTATATATCCTTAACTTTCATGGCTGTTTTCCTTAACTTTTGAAGTATCTTTCCTGGTTTCTCAGTTAACGTTTGATGTTGGTTTGCACTTAAAACCTTGCGTCATATCATGCTTGACGTTAGCCCGTGGGAGGTTGGAGGCAACCTGTGCGTCATTACTGCATTACTGTGCAGTTTCAAAGAATTTGTCGTCATGATAATTTGTTCCTACTCCGTCAAGTTTCCGAGAAAAACCGCAGGAATTTATTGTCAAACACGATCTCTCAGAGCCTTTTTTGTCTCAGCAAATACTGCACTTGATAACTGAATATTTTACTTCAGTCATTATTTTCGAATCCTGTGTTACTAAAAAAGACGAAAAACTAAATTTACATCAAAGACAAGAAGTAATTGTCTAAAGAGTAGACATTAAAATTCATCTTGAATCTCCAACCGTCCATAACAGCTCATTGTTTCGGGAGACATCATTATGCAAAGTCGCTGTAGTATCGGCTTTCTCGGAAAACAGAAAGCAACTCTGTAGAAACTCCTAGAATTTAGGAGCACCGGTCTCGAGCGTCTGTGAAAATCGTATCTCTTAATGATAGCAATTTAGAGTGCTTCCCTAAAGACGTGATCTGGTTTGCCCAGAACAACTGCAAAGCTGAAGTCATCCTTCTATTCCATCTTTGAGACGAATTGTCTTCGAATACTTTGGAAGCAAGATATTCTGACGAAAGGAAACTTGAAAATCGTTTCTGCGTTAATTGTTAATGCACTATGGATATTTTCTCCCCTCCGGGAGGTTTTTTTAAACTTTTTGTATTTCAATAAATGTCGTGTACATGAAAATTGAGTATTCAGGATGACTGCGGCCAAACAGCTTAAAGGTGTCATGAATAGGTATTGTAATCACCCCGAATAGATAGTGTCTAGTTTTTTCCGAGTAATGGTAGACTTAAGCGGGAATTTTCCCTCAATCATCAAGATTGATGCCAATTACAGGAGTAAAATCACTCAAACGAAACCAAAAATACAAAACCATCGTGCAATACATGTTTTGTTTGCGTCATTTAATTTTGACAGCTATATCCTAACTTGATCGTGAGTACTTTGTTTGCCTAAGTTATTCAAGATCGATATGAGAATCTTACTATCTTCTTAACTTGAAACATTTCACGGAAACTTCTTGGGTTCCTAGAATCCTTACGGTCAATAAATTCCGGAAAACATGAATATTCCCCTAGATTTCCCAAAATAATATGGCGTCATGTCATGGCTCACATCAACAATTTTTCCGTTTCTATGCAAGCGCCTCTTCTAGCACGAGATTCCGACCAAACTGTGACGTAGAGCTAAATATGTCGTAAATGGATAATATCACATACCAGTGTACTCAGAAGTAATTCCCAGAAAGTACCGATACATATTATTTCGACATCCACTATTTTAGCTTTATTCGTCATTCAAGTTTCCGAGAAAATCCGCTCTGATTTTTTTGTCAACATTGCAAAAATCTGTCTTATCTTATTTACGTAATTGAAAAATTACAAATATTTTAAATATATGACTTTATCATTATAATGACGAATTCATCGAAAGAATAAGCAAGTGAAAAGGGACAGTAACTGAATTGCCTACCAGCTAACATCAAACAAAACCTAGGTCCTTAATCAGCAGTTATGTATGGTTTGACTCTAAGTTGACAGGACAGGCTCATGCAAATTTTACACTGTAGACACGTGCTATGATCTTTCTCGAAAAACGTGGAAAATTATTCATCATCGTGTATTTCTCGATGATTTTTTCCTCAATAGTCCAAAAATCTGTCTTATGTTTTTAACATAATTGAGAAATTACAGCTGTTAATTAAAGATATGACTTTATCATTAAAATGACCAATTTTAACGAAAGAATAAGCAAGTGAAAAGGGACAGTAACTAAACTGCACCAGCTAACATCAAGCAAATCATAATTCCTTAATCAGCAAATATGCATGGATTGACAATCAAGTTGACAGGAAAGGCTCTTGCAAATTTAACACTGATCTTTCTCGGAAATAGGGGAAATTTATTCTTCATCGAGTATTTCCTAGAACTTGGTGGGAAATTTCCCTGTTGACTGGTTATAAAACTCGTGTCAATTGAAAATCGCAATTCGTGGTTATCTGAAGACAAGCTAACGTCCCTATCCTTCTCAAAAGGAATTTGTTTTTAAAGAGCTTTATTGCGATCGTGAGTTCAACAAACGCACGCACGCATCGGTGAGGTAAGCTTATTCCGTTCCATTTTTCAAACGAAATTTCCACAAGACTTTTCCATCTCTCGAGTTAAAACAGAAAAGATAATGCCTGGCGCAGCCTCTTCTCCTGTTTCTTCTGGATCTTCTGTGCTAAATGTATCAGAGGAGAAAACGAATGGCACGAAGCTATTACGGCTGCTGGTTGACAGAGGAAGACACGTCCTACGCAATTTATTGCACTCTGTCTACCCAATGGATAAATTACAAGTCGTAGTAAACAATAATAAGAAAAAGCTGCAACGGCTAAGGTCCGAAGATGTAATATTTGAAAACCAGTGGGAAATGTTATTTCCTGCCTCAGGCGATCCACCGGACTCGAAAACGTTCGACATTACACTTTTACATCTATTGCTTCGTGAAATTTGCCATCTTACGGCGCCTTCGACGGGATGGCACAACATGCCTGCAGAAGATGATAATAGTCTCGAAGCAAACATAACTCGCATCAAATATTTCAGAAATGAGCTTTTTCACAGCTTCTCTACCGGAATTCCAAACGCTGAATTCGAGTACAAGTGGAAGGAGATTGCATCGTTGTTAGAGGCAATTGATATTTATGTTCTACGAAAGAGGCACGAAGTGGAAATGGAGGCGCTGAAGAATGATCCCACTGGTTACGATACAAAGCTACATTTGGAGGAACTAGCAAAAGAATGGAACAAAATACAGGAACAAGAAAGGATTCACTCGTCAAGGTTTAGCCCTCGCAGCTGTCTACCGGACAGAATACCTGAAAAACGTGTATTTGGCCGCAACCAAGAAATAGAGCGTGTCAAGAAAATGGCCGTGGGTGGAGACGTCGCTGTTGTCCTGGTTACTGGCGGACCTGGATTTGGAAAGACGACTGTGGCTGAAAGAGTGGCTCATGAATTAGCAAAATCAGAGAAGGAAGCAACTGTGTTGTTTTGTAGTTTACTAACGAAGAAAAATTTCAAAGAAGTGGCCGAAGAAATAATTAACTCGTGTGGTACAATCAGCAGGCAAGTACCAGAGAATCCGGGACAGTGGCTAAGAGACTGGAGCAAACGAGTTCGAAACCAGGTCACGTTTGTTCTTGACAATGCAGATAGCGTCCTCGAGTCGAGCGATCGAGAATCATTTATAAGCATCTTATCTGACGTAAGAAGGTTATCGAGGCAAAAGGTAACATTTGTCGTAACTGCAAGGAAAACATTTGAGAATCCTGACTTGCAGTCTTGCGAAGTCAGGTTGGGCCCTTTGTCCGCCGAACAGGCAAGAAATCTCCTTATTTCTAGGGTGCAAGTCTATGAAGATGCCCCGCAGAACCTTTGCAGGGCAGAATACATCGCCAGAAATCTATGTGGCTGCGTTCCTATGGCACTTTACATTGTTGGATCCTTGCTATCAGACTATTCTGAAGAAACACTCATAGAGAGCCTCGAAAAGGAACAATTAGCGGTTTTAGAGGACGACCAAGGATATGTTGAAAAGGCCATAAAGACTTCCTTTGACCTTTTGACGAAACTCGAACAAGAAGCTTTCATTCTCCTATCTTTGTTCCAAGGTTCATTTGATCTAGATGCAGTCCAAGCTGTGACGCAGGCGGAATGTTCGATCTCGAGCTCCGGCGCTTTACCTATCACCATCCTGCGCTCCTTAAAAAACAGATCTCTTGTGGAGAAGCTCTATTCGCGCAGATATCAGATGCATCCGCTCATTCAGTCATACGCAAAGAAGATGGGTCGAGATAAGTATGACAAACTTTTGGCAATGGGCGAAAAACTGGCTTGTGTACACTTCATGTCGCGCCTCGCGAAGAATGCTAATACTTACTGGAGTAAGGACACATGCAAGGATTCCCTTGCATCATTTAAAGAAGACAAGTACAATTTCGAACATTTTCTTCAAATTTACGCTCGAGGTAGGGAAGAACAAGATACAAAGATCGTGAACGGCTGTGAACTCCTTTTGGACAGTTTCCCTCAGAAATGCATGTATTTGGAAAGATGTCTTCATCCAAGGTTCTACACTGAGCTCCTTGAAAGATTATTGAAAACTTTTGACTCTGGAATCCAACCAGTGTGTGTAGTAGATCTTTTGTGTCTTCTTGGTCATGAATACAGGAAAAAAGGAGAACAAGAGAAGTACAAAGAGGTCATGGATAAAGCGCAACAAATTCGTTTGGTGAGTGATGCTGCATTTGCGATGAAACCGTTATCAGAAGTCTATTTTCACAACAGCAATGCTCGCTTCCTTTCTGATAAAAAAGATGTTAGAGTGAACAGACGGACTGAAAAGGAGGCTGCACTAGCTGTGAAAATATCCAGTGAACTGCTTCATGATCACCCGGAAAGAGCAGCTACTCTCCTCCTTTCAGGAAATATTACAAAGCGCAGTAAGCAGTTCGATGCAGCCAAAGAAATGCTCGAAGAAGCGTTGGAACTCTTTCAAAAGAGCCTTGGGCAACATTTTATGACTGCTGAAACCCTGAAGGCCACTGGAGACCTTTACTTCTTTCTTGATGGAAAGTCCGAAGTCGACTTTGAATTCTGCCTTAAGTATTATAAAGCTGCTTTGGAAATGTTCGACGACCTAGGAGTGGGTGAAAGCAAAGAAAGCATCTTGACGATAAAGAATTTTGGATTGTGTCACATGAAAAGTGGGAACTTTGACGAGGCAATGAATCTACTCTCGAAAGCAGAGCAAATTGCCGAACGAGAATTAGAAGAGGATCACACCTGGAAAGTCTTTATAAAGACTTCACTGGCCCTCTTGCATGAGAAGATGAATGAAGTTGAGCGGGCGATAGACGTAATGCACGAGGGACTGGTGCTGGGCAAGAAATTGAATCTAACCATATACAGGATGGGAGAAAGATATTTGATTGGAGAATTTCTAGACCGGTATCCAGGGAAGTTCCCCGAGACTGAATTCCCAAGTAAGTAAATATTGTGTTTAATACAGTGCTCGATGTTCTTGTTAGTTAGCTGTCCCATATGAAGCAGCATTTACAGCTTCTGCCTTACCATGGAAGGATAGTTTCAAAATTATCCCCACTGTTTGATATGAGGGGGGAAGGATCTTGGCCTTACACTCAATAAAATTGCAGAGGTAGCTTAAAAGCACTCATAATTGAATTGGGAACGTATTATAGTTTATATTTCAAAGCTTCCTCTCTGGGTAAGAACTTAAACATCCATAGTAAAAGCCACCTGATCTGAATATCAACATTCTTTATGAATTAACGTGAAAAGAAACTTCTTTTCATCGCACGCTTCATTTTCCTAAAAAATCCCTCTTACCTCTTTACGAGATTGCAAGCTATCAATCAGAAATTATGATTAAGTTTAGAAGCTTCTGAAGACACATTTAGGCATGTCGAGCTTTAAGTAAAGTATAAGTTAGAGAGAAGTGTTACCCTTGTTAAATTGCACTGTGATGATTCACGGCATAATTTATACTGTGCTGTTAATCTTTCAGGGAGTGTTGTCAGTCGAACGGGCCATCGAGTCCAACAGCCCCACTGGAAGAGGAAAGCTGGCTTTGGAAGAGGATGGAATCATTGAGAAAACTAAGGAAAAGAGTTGTTACTGATGGAGAGAAATTTAAATGATAGCTATGAAAAACTCGAAAACTACTAAAGTGAATCTTAGAGATGCGCAAACTATGATGATAAGGAACCAATCTTTGAAACGACCGCTGCAAATCGACTTTAAAATAATAGTTTTATATTTTACAAGGGAATATAACGATACAACAAGAGAAAATAGGGATCTCCTAAATACAACCAATTCACTTCCGTGTAGTTTTTTTTTCTCAAATGTGAAAATATAACCAATTAAACCGTTCTGAAGCGAGAGGCAGATTACCGACGATTAGCAAATAACCAAATTCTGTCAGCGTGCCTCGCACTAATTATTTTAACAAATAGATTCCATTGTGTACAAACCGAAAAGTGACAGAGCGTGTCGCCCATGTTTTTACCACATTTAGACATTATTTGTGGACTCTTACTTTACAGACTCACGACAGCATGATGAAAAAAGGTGTCAATATTTTTATTCACTCTATTCAGAATTATTTTTTCACTTTGTAACTTAGCCGGCCATAATTTATCTTTGGGCTGGAGGGGTAGTTTTAAAAGTGATTTTAGGAAATGTAATTCTCTGATCAGTACATAGTGTAGACGTAGGCGAAAAAAAAATGTCTTTGAGCACAATCAGTTACTCGCTATAGAAATTTGTTTCACTTCGTTCAAATAGAAATGTGGCGAAGATTATAAGCATCAACGTGTTATCACTTTCACAAGCAATCTGTCAAAGTCACCAGGATGTTTAAATGTTTTTTAGGAAGGTATTAAGCAATTTTTACATTCTGTCCGCTTGATTATTTTAACAGTCTGGGTATGTCCTCCTCTTCTCGAAATTTTGCAAATTATTTTTTTTTTCATACCAAAATATACTGAAAAGAATGATGTAGTCTTTCCCTTTTGCTTAGAGCTGTTAAATTTCGATTGATTTGTTGAAGATACATTTGAATAAAGTCTAATAATGAAAATGGATATCTTTACAAATCGCTGGTAGCGACGATAAGTAAATTAGTGAATAAAGATTCTATCAACGAATACATTCTGTGTTTGATGAGTAGGCGTAGTTTAATGAAGGAATGGGATATTGGTGCAAACTGTTACCGTAAACGCCTAGGAATGTTAAAAAAATAATGAAATAATAAAGAACAGATTTGCAGTAATACTCCTGTAAGACTATAAAGCAAACCAAAAACACCATATTTATTGTAGACAAGTCCGAACTTTATCTTGGGAAAGTTGAAGACTGAAATGAAACCCTTAATGCTTCAATTTGTACGATGATTATTTTTATCGCGAACCTTGGTTATTGTTTCTTATTCCAATGATAACCATGCATGAAATAGGAAGGGCACACATAATGCAGTACCTTAAATTCAATGGGTAAATTTCTTGGAAACACGATATTCTGGATAACTCTGTGTAATCATTTGTTAAATTTAGAACATTTCGTGGAAATTGCTTGGCTTCCAAGAATCTTCAAGATCATTATCTTCTAGACAACATGTATATCCACTTTTAAAATCCAGAGTGAATTGGTTTCACATCATGGGTCACATCTAGCATCTTTTCAGTTCCGTAAAGACGGTTCTTGAAGTGTTTTTCAAATTTCATAAAAGCGTTTAAACTTCGACGAAGAAAAAAACCGTTCAGCTCGAGATTTTAGCTCTGAGCACACCTCGGGTAAAAACTCAGGATTCCGATCCAACTGTGACGTGGGACTTGCCCTCGCATGCTAACAATAAATGAATTATATCGCATATCAAGTGTACTTAGCAATGATTCCGAGAAAGAAGTCCATAATTTATCTATCTACATTTCCTCCAAGTTTCTTGGAAAATCCGGAATAATAAGAATAATAAAATCAGAATTTTAACCACAGACTTGTATTGTTTTGTTCTTGAAGCAGCAAATATTGCTTAAAGAAGAAGATGCAAGTCAATTGGAAGTCACTATATTCATCTTATTGGACTGCTGAACTTAACTACCTTGAGCAACTCGCGCCAACGGAACCATGACCAGAAGTCTGATCAAGCACTTTTAATTCATCCTCTGAGACTCTGTCACTCTTCTATCAATTCAGCCCAAAGTGCACGCTCCTACAATATCCTAACGGTAAGCATGTTCGGGCTTACGGGACAGCTGACTTGGAGGAATAAATATATTTTTGAATCCTTACTGAAACAATTTCACGAGACATTCGAAATAAACAACAAAGTACTTAAAAAAACCAATATTCGAGAACTCACTGAAACCTAAACTAAACTTCCTCTCGAGGACTCTAAGCAAGGTTAAGGACAAACCCAAACACGACCAAAGATTACGATTATCGTGCGAGAATTAAGCCCTATTACAATGATCGAGGACAAATCAAAAGGTAAAAATGAATATGTGGTCTTACCGCACATGACAAACTAAGGTTCACAAGACTCGCACGAGGATTTCAGGATGATTTAAACAACTCCCAAACACTTAGTTAGAATAATTTCTAATTTTAATAGTTCCCAAAAACTTCTAATTTTAATAGTTTAATGGAAAGTGATCAGGTACAAACATACCACGCAAATTTTTCTTAACAACAGCGCATGACAGTTGAAGACATCACATCACAAGACATTGACATCACATTGTGCATAAATGGAAATGAGCCTTCTTGGAAGTTACAGATTCAGTTATCATTGCATCTTTCCGAGAATTTTGAGCTTTTCCAGTAAAGTGGTTAAAAACTTCGTATCGATTAATAATTGCGACTCCTGGTTGTCTGAATACAACATAGATCGATTAACCTTCTCAAATGGAAATTTCAATATAAAAAGGCTTCGATTGTGAGTCATGGCAGCCAGTACAACATCCTCAACACATCTGCGAGTCTTTCTGGACCCTCAATAGAGGGTGTATCTGAAGAAAAGACGAATGATACAAGGCTGGCAAGACTGTTTGTTGATGAAGGAACAAAAGTTCTGGGAAATTCTTGCTTTCCATGCATCCAGGGTCAACATAACAGAACACACTAGACAACAATCGCCCAAAGCTAGAGGGGTTGAGAAAGAAGCGATTTATATTTGATGAGCAATGGGATAAATTGTTTCCTTCCTCAGGTAAACCAGATCCGCGAAAATTCGACATCACGCTCTTACACTTCTTCTTAAGTGAAGTTTGTCGTCTGTCGGTTCCTTCGACTAGATGGTACAAAATGCCTGCAGACGCTGATGCGAGCGCTGATCTTGCGTATCAAATGCTGTAGGAATGAGCTTAGCCACAGTGTTTCCATTGGAGTTCCGAATGACGAATTCGAAGGCTAGTGGAACAAAATATCTTCGTCTTTAGAAGTACTTGAGGTTGCCGCCTATCGAAGAAATGTCAGTCCCTGAGGGGTGCTACTGTTGATCACAAAGCTCATTTGGTTGAAGAGGAACTCGAACAATGGAGGAGGGAAAAAGAACTTGAGAAGAGTGGAATAGTCTCTGAACTTTCCAGTTATGGCTTCCTGATGACAGGTCAGAAGAACATTTTATCGACCGTGGTGATCAATTACAAGATATCAGAGAAAAAGTTCAGATGCATCTACTCATTCACTCGTATGCAAGGAAAATTGGTCAATCTAGGCTTGCCGATCTTTTAGCTAAGGGAGAAAAATTGGTCTTGTTTATTTCATGTCTAGCCTTGCGAACAAGGCCGAATTGTACTGGAGAAGAGGCAGTTGCAAAGAATCCCTTTTTACATTCATCAAGGAAAGGAACAATTTCGAGCATTTTCTTTGCATTTACTCCAAAGGAAGGGAGGAAAAGAAAATTATGGAACGCTCTCAAACTCTGTCTTTACCCAAAGAATTACGCTCAGTTCCTTGAAAAGTTGCTGGAAAAATTTGACTCAAACGTTCAGCCAATACATGTTGTAGAACTTTTATGTCTTCTCGGACAAAAGACCAAAAGAAGTACAGAGAACGTATGTAGCGAGTGGAAGAAATTTACCTCCTGAATGCTGCAAAGTTTGAAGAAAATCCGTTATCAAAAGTTTACTTTAATAACAGTTATGCACGCTTACTTTCCGATTAAAAAAATCCCAAAGAAAACCAAATAATTGAGCAGGAGACTCAATCGGCTCTAGCTGTTAGCAGTGCAAGCCTGGGCGATCGTCATCCAGAAATAGCACCAACTCTTCTTCTTTCAGAAATCTTTGCCAAACGCGGCAAGCAGCGTGATACAGCTACTAAAATGCTAATAAAGGCGTTAGAACTCTTTGAATGGTACCTTGGTAAACATTTTATGACCGCCGAACCCCTGAAGGCCATTGTAGACCTCCGTTTCTTTCTTGGTGGAGAAACAAAAAAGGAAGACGACTTAAAAATTTCCCTTTAGTATTGTAATGCAGCCATAGAAATGTTCAACGGTCTTGCCGAAGGTGGAAGCAAAGATAACATCCTGACTTTGAAGAGTTACACAGCTTGTCACAAGAAGAAAGGAATCTTTGATGAGGCAATGACTTTATTCACAAAGGCAACACATGTTGCCGAGAGAGAATTAGGAGAGAATCACGAATGGAAGGTCTTGATCAAGACTACATGGGCCATCTAACACGACGAGATAGGAAACACGGATAAAGCGAAACTGATGTTTGAAGGACTGTCATAATGATACAAGTAATGGCATACCAATTAAACAAGGATATCAAATTTTATAGAGACCTCTATGATTAAAACCTCTGTATGTATGAGTGACAATTCCTATTGAATACAAAATGTTCAAATTTATAGAAACCAAGGTGGCTGATTGCTTTTGTCGTTTTATGCAGAATAAATATTTTTAGCAGCTAATCCAAGGAACTCAGGTTCAATGGAGCTTTTCTATACCAAATAAAGATTAAATGTCCCATTAGAAAAATTTCTGGAGTAGCACGTTTATTCTGGGCAGCAATAATTCCCAAGATGTTCATTTATGTATTTTTCCTACTGCTGGATTACCGAAAATGACTTGCCTTGGTCTCCCATGGCAACGTGGCCGACTGGTTATTTGATAAACCTTATCGGCGTAAGAAAGTTGATGATACATGCAATTACCTTACTAACTGGGGAGAAAGCAATCAAGTCGGTAGATTACCGTTGAACAACTTTGTTTATCATGCCAAAATGTTCGTCAGATCATTGTTTGACCTCAGTGTGTCAGATATAATCGATATTCTGACAGTTTATATATCAATACACCATAGCCAAATATTGAATTTTCAGCAAAACAAAAGGTTCCAAAACATCTCAAATTCATTTGATTCACATCTTTAAAAAAATCAACTTGTAAACATTTGAAGACAAAAAAATTTCTTTAAATTCATTATTATCACCTTTATTGATATTCTTTTTTTTAAATGAAAGGAAAATCTCAAGTCCGTGTTTGAATTTTCAGACGAGATAAGCGCGTAATTCATGAGTGGAAATTAAGCCCAAGTTTTCTCGCTTCGTTGATAACTTAAATCTCATCTGCTGAGGAGGTAATAGCTGATAGGCTTATTCACGGTGAAATTGCCTTAGATTGCCGCAAATCCTTTCCGCACAATTGTTCAACGGCATGAAAAGAAAATACATTTTAAAATTACACTGAAAGTCGACCTTCACAGGTGCTCTATACACTGGCATTCAAATAATATCGAAATATAAGCAGTTGAAATGTTGATGTAAAACTGAATAAGCGAAAGAAGAAAAAGGTATAATGGAAAAGATAAGAATGAATATGGATGAGCTGCCACCCAATGGTTTTTGGTTTCCAAGATTCCCTTTATTAGAGTGGCATATTGACAAAATTAACACAATTTCGCGCTTTTATTGTAATGATGTCACAGGCAAGTAACTTTAGAAGTAAACAATCAGTTTTCATTCATTACCTTTTGGTTTCTTAGTCGTCAAACACTTCATAATGCTCTCAATATGGAAATGAATATTCTGTCAGACAGTAAAATATTCTGTAAAACATGCACCAAAGTTAATCTTCATTGTTGTATTTTTCGCTTTGTCTCTCTTCTCAAATGGTAAAAATTTTCTACCAAGCTTGCCAAAGTTTACCATTTATGGGCCTCTGTTTTCTGATATTCCGTGACGGATTCATGACCACAAAAAAGAAAATACGTGATTTGCTTTATTCTTCATAAAAATTACCACACGAAAAGTGACAAAATTGTTTTAAGCTTCGATAAGCTTTATGAAGTCTCGACCTCATAGAACAATAGCGTCAATAAATTTAAAAACTGAGATACTCGCAACAACACCAGTTGTTCTTTTAAAACACGAGACCAGAGTGAGAAATCCATTCAATTTTATTAGGGTGTAAACGCAATGTGTTTTCACTTATTATAAATATTTCAGTTATGCTAAACACATGTTTCTTTCTCAACGTACGTAACAACCTTTCGACAACATGGCCCTGCAGTGTCTGAATTTTGTCTGTAACTAGCAGACGACCGTCTTGAAAACGACGAAACTAAAGATGACCCAAAACGTTTTTGTCTTCTTCCAAATAACTTACATCTTTCCTGCGTTACACGCGGTCTCCTACAACGAAGAATATCGAGAATAGCTTTCTTAAAAGTTCTACTGACCATAATAAATAAAAGAGGATTGATACATGAGTTCAGGTAGGTTAGAGACTTAACAAAGTCCAAGACGCCAGGATTTATCGAAGAAGAAGTGGATCGTTTCGTGGAAAGGATAAGTGTCAAGACAAAAAACCCGACCCAACATAGAATAAACATTCCGATAACCAGAACCATTTGTTTAGCCGAGCGAATATCTCTTTTAAGTTGCATACCCCCACTACGCCGTAAGACGCAAGTTCTTGTGGTGACCTGGTAAATCTTGGCGTAGGAAAAAATGATTATTATAAGTGGTAGGAAAAAGCTGATAATGGTGATAAACACTCCTTTGTAGTTCCAGTTTACGTGGAGAATTCCAGAGAGACCGAGAGAGGTTGCCCAAACAAGTACAATGACTCCCTTAGCTCGCGTTGGCGTGAGTATCACTAAGTGTTTAAGCGGGGATGCGACTGCAAGAAATCTGTCTAAACTAACCAAGCACAGGTTCCATATTGATGCCGTGCCACAAAGGATATCTATTGATCGCCAAACATCGTAGAATACGGCTCCCCCAGGAAACATAGTACCATCCGATGTAACTCGAGAAACCAAAAAGATTGGCATTGCTAGTAAAGCTGTCAGCAAATCAGCCAAAGACAGCGACACAAGGAAATAGTTTGTAATTGTACGCAGTTCTTTACAGAGGTAAAACGCAACCATCACTAAAGTGTTTCCGAGGAGCGTCAATATAATTAGTATTGCGATCAGTGTACAAGTGATGACTACGAAGTACAATTCCTGTTTATCTGAGTTTCTTGATGCCTCCATCGCAGACACGCTGAAATTGGTCATTTTTATTTCGTGTTTTCTTTTACGCTCCAGCTAAAGCGATCATAGGCTTACACTGCCCCGTGCTTGACGAAAATTTACATGCCTAATAAGGATATGCAAATTATTAAGTCTCATCGCGTACCAATTGGCTGTTCCTCTTAATCCCCTAAGAAGTATTGAATATTTGTAATAAGCCGAAAACACTGCACGAATAATAAGGAATTTCTCAAGCTCAATTTTCTATACTTTTCATTCTTAACACGATTTGAAAATGGGGTATTTTGGAGTTTATTGTAATGTGAATCTTCTCTTTGTTAGACAGACGATGATCATTTACGAAAAAGAAATAGTTGCACTAAAAATTTTGATAGATCTCTACATGTTTAAAAAGTGATATAAAAACTCAAGAAAAATATTAAAAAATAGTCGTTATTGATTTAGGACGCAAAGTTCTTTAAACATTGCATCTTGGATGATCTGTATTTTTTCCAATTATGAGATACGAGGTAGGTAATATAGCACTATTTGGTACTGAGCAGCTTATGGCCTGAATAAGATTACGTTTTTTTCCCAATGTCTTCGGGGAACTCCCAAAGCTGAACTTGAGAACGAGACGTAATTAACAGGCTGCCAATTTAAAAGTAGAGTTTTGCTTTTCGCACTCGTTTGGTATAACATTGTGCTATATAAAGAGGAATTAACATTTCTACGTCATGTTGTGCATGCTTACTTTCACGAGTCCATTTAGACTTTTATTTTAATTACACTGCGCAAATCATCACCTACCTTAGTTTTTGTTTGAGAAGTGTCTAAGTACTTTATGCTCTGCCGCACGATATATCAAGTCGTGATGAACTACAGTTCTGGAAAGAAAGACATCTTTATAGTCCAATGGTTTAAGCTAACACCTTATTCAAACCATATTTACATACACGTCTCAAATAATTATATTGTGTAAATATGAGGCATAAACTTCCATTAAAGATGGCCTTTGATCGATTCTAACGCCGATCTGTCTCAACCTAAGTCTGCCATCTCACATCCTTTCTTCGCGAATCGAGAAAGAAAAAGATCATCTTGACCTTGGAAAATTGAGGAACAAAAACCATAAAACCTCATCTAAGTCAGGTGTGCTTTATATTTTAGCCGTGTTAAGTTGTTATGAGTTCATTTACATAAAAAATCATTTGGTGGGCGGTGATACTAAATCTCAGGTGCGCACGGAACTGTCAAATACAGGCAGTTTTCCAGTTGTTGGCCATTTCGAACGTGAGTATATAATCCGATTGTTCTCAATAACTGTGATAGTCTCTCCAGTGCGCATCAAATATGCTCTTAGTTACTTCATTGTCCATGTTCTTCACTAATCCCCGTCATGAATACATGCAGCTTATACGTATTATGATTGGTGATACACAAAACTTTATTTTTGAGATAGCTTTTCTTGTCTACAATGTATGCAAATTTGGCTGACAATTTTTAATGTACTTCTGAAGTGTCGCAGTTGTCAGATCGGAAGTTGGAAATACTCTTGTATTGGTTATCAAGATACTTGGAATCGATGTGCCTCAAAATCTTTTCCCAAAAAGCTCTTCCAAGCCTTATTTTTTCGAGCTGTGCCTCACGGAATTGTTATTTCACTTTTCCAACGAGAATTAATTTGCCACCTTTCCAGCCACAAGTCAACTGACATCACTTATTTCAAATACCAATTGGGATTAAAATTCTACTTTGGTGAAACTCGCAACTGAAGAGCTTACTTGAGTAGTTATACCCCATGTGAATCAAATTTTCGCTAAAAATTATCTCCCTATGTGGTAGTTGATGAGGCAAGGGAGCATTAATTCAAGCATCAACCTTGTTACCGATTATCCAAACCGGCAGCGTGAAGCGGCACCAGTTTATTACTGGTTGAGGCTATTTTAACTGGTGGTGACTTGTCTCAGTAGTTATTCCGGTACCTTTTTTTTCGGTCCAGACAGACAGTTTCAAGACTGGGTGCAAATGTCCAGAGCACGGAAAATGCGAGAATAGCCATATCCTTCGTCGTTTACTTTTTCTTTTCAGAAAATAACTAGACACTACGAGCGCCCTAATTGGTACAAACCTACTGTTGAACCCATAGCAAAATTGGAGTTTGTTTTGTAAATACCAGAAAATTTTGCCATGAAAGCGTTATTAGTAGTTATTAGTAGTTATTAGTAGTTAGGACTTTTTACGCGAGACAAAAAATATGATCAATACTTTGGTTTAATATGCATTTTAATAAATTGCGTGTGGCATAATCTGTGACGGTACCTGACTCAATAATTTTGAAATTAAAAGTATAGTAGGTGGGAATTTTACACAACAAATTCTTTCGTGAGGTTATAGATTAGAAATATGCAGCATTCAGGTCGCCCTTTCTTCTTTCAAAATCTTGCAGTCTTGGGCTGTTTCTGAAGATAAGATAAAATTTCATTAGCCATAACGGCCGTCTGAACTTGTTCTCTGTTAGCCCTATAAAAAATAAATAATATAATAAAACTCCCCAATTTCTTTCTCCGAAAAACATTCCCTAAGCAGAGATCCAAGTTAACTGAACACAAATGGAATGGTAATATTTATTATTTCGTCAATTGTCCATTTAACTTGTAGCGAATCAAATAATTAAAACCGGACTTTGTGTCGGGTCGCACTAGATCGAATTCAAATATTTTCCGATTTTTCAGTTCGCAAACCAAAAAGTGGCAAAATTTTGAGCAATTTCCAAATTTCATCCACACACATCTTGCATATCATGGCAGCTAAATGGTTAAAAAACATGAATGTTTATTTTGCCTTCAAGGCAGGACATCGGGTCCTTTGAAATTGGCGAACAGGTTGGTAAGTTCTTCCTGGGCTCCTAGTCGCACTTAGTTTACGCTATTTTGTTGACAGATTTTCAGACTTAAACACACAAAAAAAGCGCCACACATTGCGACCCGGGCCTTGTCAGTAAATTTATTAATACCAAGTGGCATTTCACGCCACTTATATATATGGAGGTGCTCTGATAGATACTTAACATGCACGATAACTATTCAATGGTCCAGAATCATCTCGAACCCATAAGGGACACGCAAGGGACAAGGTCACGGTAACTAATTCTATTGTGTATCCTGGCACTAGATTTTGCAATGTTTTTTGTAGGCTATCCTTCTTCAAAATTTCTTTACTAATTCTCTCTTTCGTGCATGTGTTTGGTTTTTATCTCCTTCCAGCCTCTCAACAACGTCCTATTTATTCAACACCATTAATTTATGATGGTAATTGAGCTGAGCGGAGTATAATTTGTACAAGTAATCACAAGATGTCGAGTGCAATTTAAGATAAACGGCACGAGTAAATTTTTAAATGGCTAACCAAATTGCACGGGCCTGTATAATAAGAAGTCTTTGAAAATTTTACGGGTGCTGATTTATCCCGCGATTTATGGACGAGAAAAATCACATGATTACTAATTGATAGTATGGCTCTGTTTTTATTTTTATTTGTCCTTATTTCGTACCGTATCTCACTAGTTCGGCCACTTGCCTTTGATTTACCTTGTTGCCGGAGTAATCGGGCTTTTTTCTCCAAGAATCTGCTTTAAACTTTTAAAACCCCTCTCGAGAATAATTGAGCGTCTGTATTCTTTCTCTGCTAACTATCGGTCGACGACAGTAACCATTACACGAAAGCTATCACGCTCCTAAATTTCCCCGTCTTTTGTGCGAACTGTCGCGTGAAACTCCTCGAGAATTTTTTTCAGGGCCTCTGGTTCATACTTTGATATCCACTTTTGGAAGCCAGACTTTTAGCCAATTGTTTTTTCTTTGTTGATTGGTTTTGTTTTAGCATTTTCCCTCAAACTCTGAGTTAAACCCTTCTTACTTTCTCCTGTCCTATCCGCCATTTTGTTTTGATGTTCTTTTCGAGTTACCCGACAATCAGTTTAATTTCAACTTTCTGTACTGTTTAGGATTAATTGACGTGTTCTCAGCCAATGAAATTTTTGTATGTGTATTATTAGGTCTGAAATCCTACGAGTGATTTCTACATTGAACTAGCGCGCAGCGCGAGTTTAACATGTTTAATTGTAATCACAAGACAGTATGATTTCAGACCAAAATTGCACAACACGAAATTCACTTACCACTTTATTACATCCATTTTGATACTCCAAAATTCAATCCCTCAAATACAAGACTTTTTAGCATGTACAAATATTTAAGTGGTCCAATACTGAGCTGGTTTGTTAACAGTTGCAAAAGTTGTCTTTCGTTTTCCTCTAGCTTGATTGGTTACTTTAAACGAGCCTTGAAATCTGATTTGTTGTTGTGTTTTAGTAGAGGTTCCACATGGGGAAAGGATGATATTTAGGACAAAAACTGGTCCGATTCGTAAATAAATTGCACCAATGGGAGCCAATCAGATTGTAAGGATCACATGTGATCTTAAAATGGATGTCATAAAGATTTCAATAGTTACCTGATTTTGCAATATTGTCAATTGATAAAGATTATTTATTATTATTAAAATAGAAACGTTAAGTTGTGAACCAGGAAGCTAAGTTAACCACGATTCCCTCATCGACTCCCTGTACATTTTAAGTTCCAAGTAGAAACAGGTGAGTGAGAAAAAAAGTAAACAATTAAGCTGTGCTTATTGAAAAGGAAGGTTGTTTATTTCATCTTGTTTTGAGAGCTATGGATTTTAAGGTTTCCTTCTTCTTATAAACCATTTTACTCATTCGGAAAGTCACTGTAAGTCTCTTGAGCTTAAAAGGCACATTTTTTGGCACTTTGGTGTTGTTTCAAGAACTCCTTGCGTTATGAAAAAAAACTTTCGATGAAAGTGTGTTTAGTTCTAACAGTCCTAATTTTGTGTTCATTATACCTCGAGATTAACGTGACCTATCAGCAAACGGGCAGAACGCAGCATTACGTTCCATATATCTGAGGTTTAATACGGCAATTATATTTAAAGTAAGAAGCCTGTAATTTTACCTACCTTAGGAACAACGTCCACAGGTTTTGGGGCATGTCATTCGAATTATACGAGAGTACTTCGAATTTTTGTGAAGACACTTCAATCGCTTCCCTTTACATCTTTTGGGACTAAGATCTCGGCATACTGCAAATAAATGTTTTAAAAATATCGACAACGTTAAATTCGCTCCTTCCGTCATGATGGGATAGGATGGAATAAAAATGGATTGCACAAAGAACACATGAGTCAGCTACGTTAATCCCGAAGGAAGAAGATGATCTGGGAACGTTTGTTATAATTTAATTAATTCTACAGTCCACTGTTAGGTACATGTATGAGGTCACATTCTGTAACAGACAATACAAACAGTTTTCGTTGCGAGAGACTATAGCTTCTGTATGGTCATTAGACTTTAATTCGAAAGGTGAGGGACAGAGCCCTGAAAGGGGTCATTGATTTAATTTTCTCTGGAGGAGGGTCGGTTGTTTAAACAAAGTATCATTTAGCCGTCGTTTGGCAAAATAGCGTTCCATACCATTTTCATTTTAACCAAATGCATATTTATTTGTTGTTATTGTAAAGGAGGCAGTGGACAACAGTGGAGAAACATTGAACCCACTTTAGAGAAAATCTTAAGGTACAGTGATCTCCAAAACCCGCACCTCAAAAAAAAACAAAGATTAGATGTTGCCCTTGTGTGTGAGTGTAAATAAGCTTTCCTGTCTTTTAGAAATTGTATAAAATAACATATATTTCATCCTAGAACGAGGTTAAGAGGTTTAATTTGCGAGCAAAAATTAGAGAAAAAGAATCAGGCTCGCCTTGCTTGAGAGAGGTGTGTCAACATGAGCATTAGCTTGAATAACTATAGAGCTGGTGGAGGGGGGGAGAGCTAAAATCCCATTTAGGAAGAGTAGCGATGTTACTGTATAGTTTATGTTTGTGCAGCTGTAAGCTGCATTGTACTCTGGATCATCAGTTTTCATTAGTGATGTTGGATCCCATAATATCGCCATGGGTTGGGAAGACAAGTAGTCTTCATTTCTCAAAGAGAAATTTCCTGTTTCCTTGACGTGTGTGGAGAACAAAGGTAAGATTTATTCTGTATAACTCTTTAGTGGTTATGAAGATCATGTCTTAAAAATTTAATATCATTTCAAGGAAACAGCAAACTTAAAGTCACTTTGAAAATTCAAAATTCCCCTCATCCCAACCCCAGCCACAGTGATCTAATGAGCTGTCACAAAGCACGAGCCTGACTATGACTCGTGGGACAAAAACAAAACAAAGGCCAAAAAGAACTCTACCACGCTGTACAATTTTTTCGAAAAGAGAACCCTCTACTCAAATAAGAAAAAAAAATACTCTCCACACCCCTGATCCGTAGATACAGAGCCATTTGCAACCCACCCTTAGATAGGCCAGTGGCTGGGCTTCATTTTTTTTTTTTTTCTTTCACTTTTCTGGTTCCTTCTTTCGGAAAAAAAGTGGTCTCAGCGATGCCAGACATTACGGACAAATATTAGAAAAATAATCCTGAAAAATAACGAATTTTTCAGGATGATTACCCAGGCAGTCGCTCGACTGACATTCATGATAAACTTTTCTAGAACTCGATCGAGATGTTAACAAATTCTGGCATCAGGGAACTAAATTTGCGAAAGGTAGATTAAAAAAATAAACGTATCCTCATCGGTTCAAACTTTTCCTATAATTGATCATGATAGCAAAATGTCAATTTGTGCACACAATCATTCCAACATTTATTCTGAAAGATGATCTTGGAGAATTCAGCATGGTGGTCGACAAATATATAGTACTTTTTTAAATACAGATCTCTTTTTTTCTAAGTTCTCCACATTTAAATTTTTGATTGAGCAAATAAGTGGAATAAGATGAATTTTAGGGGAGTATCGTGTTGTGAGCATACCTTAGAGAAATCTCCATTAATCGATTAGCACATACAAAGAAACTGAGAGAAATTGCTTCTCCTGATAGATTTATACACCCTCTGCCCCTTTTTTTCCTCAGCGCATTCTGACATTACCTTTCCATGACAAGGTCTATTACATTAAGTAAGAAGATGGCCAAAGTTACATCTCACCTCTGCCACGTTTTGACAGCCAACTTTCCCCTGAAAGATAAGCGGAAAAAGCCGCAATAGGGACTGACATAAATTATTGAGTAACTCTTGCTCTGTTATGAGGGTCGTTTGTGATATCAAACGACTGCTCCAGTTTAAAACTACATCGGCGGGGTAACTTTAATTCGCGAATTGCCTCATCATGGCTGAAGATATCCCTATTTAGTTATGTGATGAAGGAGAAAACACGAATTTGAATTTCTATCTTTTCTCGATCATCGAATCCGCAAGTTGAAGCACAGGTCATAATCAACGCACTTTGTGAAGGCTACATTTCTGTTTTGAGTTGTTCGATTTCACAGGAATCTCCACTCCAATCTCTAATTTATAGTCTACAGAATCAGGCTACACATCCCTCGTTGATGACGGCAATTTTAATTTGTTTGAATAAAAACTTTGTAATGAATGACAGAGAAGTAGACTGAAGCCAGAAAATGTGTCAAGATATCGAACTGAAAATCAATTAAAACTTTACATGGGAAATCGTAGAATTAGGTGGAGTCACGTCAGTTTTACTCTCTGATTAAAAATTTATACCACAAAAAAAATTTCGAATATTCCACCATTAGCCGGATTTTCTCTTCCCTAAAACTAATCCAAAGGGTGTTTCAGTAAATTTCAAACAGAGAAATGTGATCCTGTTTCAGTGGATTGCGTACCTTATCACCTCACTTGTAATTAACGAAGAACTCTCTATATTTTCAGACCTCATGGCATTAGTTTAATAAAATGAATTTATGATCGTACCTTCGTTCAATTCTTGTGTTATTGAAGAGCTGTCAACTGTATCCATCACAGAGATCACAAACAAGATGAAAACGCAAATAATTATTTGGCTTTTCATCTTTATTACAGGCACCTGAACGGAGTACGCAACTTTGCCAGAGCAGGAGTGGTGAAGTGTATCGTGAGAGTACTGCAGGTATGTAGTTAATTGGAAAGATTATATCTGTGTTCAGATTTACAGTTCGCAACTGGTGTCGTCTCCTGCTGAAAGTGTACGGCTTGAGATTCAAAACAATTCTGATTATCTACCTGATTTAAGCTCAACCAGACACGATCAAGTTAAAATTATAATTGTTATAACGAACCGTAAACGTAATAAAAAGATGAGATATAGGCGCGGTTCGACATCAAAGAAAGTTTTTGAGGCGTAAATTACCAAAAAGGTACAATAAGCAATGAGTAAAGATCAACAACAAGAGTTTGTATATTGACTGCAGGGCTCTAAAGGTAAAAAGACTAATTACTGGCTACTATGTTGATTATTTCGCGAACATCTGGTGCAAACAGGACAGCATCAAAATCAAAATTGTTAAAAACATCACTTCCACAATTTCAAGGGCTGTATAGAAAAATGAAAAAAAAAACAGAGATGTCTATCTATAACCCAAATAATATATTTTCCTATCGTTTTACATACCAATAGAATCATCGTGTGCGTGGACCGAAGATGTTTATTATCATTATTGTAATAATTTTTGTACGCTCTGAAAAAAATGCGTTCACAAGCGGTTTAAATTCCCGCTGAGAATTTGAGTTTCAATTTGTTTTGCGCTGTCTTGAAGCGTTTGATTGTTCGCCGATTTGATTTCTACAGGATAACCACCATCGTTTGTTATCAGCCTTCTTTTCGCATTTTTCACATCATTTTGACAAGGCCTTTGTCGGGAAACATAGAGAGTGTTAACTTTACGGAAAACTTCCCGTTTTACAAGACAACGGGGAACGAGCCTGGCCATGTCTGTTTATAAACTTTAAGAACAGTTCTTTTTGTTATTTTAATTCAAACATCTCCAACTGTTGACTAAGGGTCTGTTTCCATTATCTATCGAGTAAATCTTTCAAAAAAGGAAAATTTAGTTTTTGTCGGTAAAGCGTCTTTGCAGTCCGGAAACCCAAATTCTCATTGTTACTCTGTGAATTAAAGTGGTTCATGCCTTTTGTTATTGCTTACCCTCACTATGTACACTGAATATATAGAATTGAACCCCTGAGCGTGTGTGTTGCGAGTGGAAGTAGACAAAACATAAAGAATATGGTGTTAATATTTTTTTGGGTTGCGCAGCGACTCCCTTTTTAAATTTTCATCTTCGCCAAGTTATTTCCACAGCCGATTCTTCTAATATTTTGATGAAAAAAACGAGAGAGTTTTTAAGAATTTCTTTTCACATACAATCGATTCGGTTGTGTAAAGGGGAAGCGTGTAACTTATTATCAGTCTAATCTACATAATAATGTTTGTTTAAAGAAATATTCGTGCATGGCGAGCGCATTAGATGTAAACTTCCCTTTCTATATGGGGCTAACTCCGCCTGTACGAGTGGGTGAGATTGATTGACATTGGCCGCTTGATCCTGCCGAACAAAACATTATTTGCAGCCGGTTCAGAACAGACTTCCTAACCTTCTAGAAAACTCCATCTGAAGTAATAAACAAATTAGTTCATTAGAAGTTTCCATGGCAATCGCATCGCAAATACATATAGACAGTGGGTCAAACGAAAGAAACACGAATTCATTCAGTTTTTTTCCCATAAGAAAATCGCTCATCGTCATCAAACGCAAAAAAAGGAAAGGTTGAAAACTCAGCCAATTTTCAATTATCTCGACCTCACAGCTTGCACTTGGTTATAACGCATATGCTAAATGCGTCAAAGGCGTCTACCTGTCCGTGTTTTTCCTATTGGTAATCCCCAGGCACTAAACTACATCTTCTAGAGTAGTTTTATCAACAAGCTAATTGTCATGGCGTTTAAGTACTCTATCGGATTCCCCACAATGCTTCTCGAGCAAGAACGGTTCAGTTGAGAAAATTCAGGAAGAAGCTAGTTAAACCCATTTGAGTTTCATCGCCATCTTTTTTAAGCTTAGAATTTCTACCCACTACTGACGTGCCAAAAAATTTAAGGATGCGCATAAAAAGTTGAATTCTTTATTACCATTCGCTTTCCTCATAAATGTTAACCCACATCTTTCTTTGTCGTTATCTTTGACGCATGAGAGAAAAGCTATCGAAAGCTTATTATCACCTGAGCAAATAGGAACCACTTCTTCATATCTGTATTTCGCTTTATCTCTTACATACATATTTTATAGTATTCGGGTTATATTTTTAGTCAGTCTCAAAATAGAAAGACATCCATAGCCCGTTTAGAAGAGCCCTGTCAATTTTTCTGCTCGAATTCTATTTTTCTAATGTCGTTGTTGTGCGAGGGTGGTGTTTTTCTCAGTGAGGAGTTCTTGGTAAGACAACTTAGATATTAAAAGGGAATGGCTGTGGGTGTTAAAGTTAAAACAGCTTTTTTAATCAAACAATTGAAACATCCAGGGGGCATAGAATGTAAGTAAAACTAGACAAAACATCCTTTTGAGGGAGCGAGCGAAAGCTCCGTATTATCATTCATGATTATTCACCCAAGTGCCACCATACCTCGACCTCGCCGGCAGGAACATTCTTCTACTTTCAAAAGTAAAGGTAGCGCGATACATTTTATACTGAGGATTATTATGCAGACCGTAATAAGGTTAACAAAAATAGTGAGTGCATCCTCAGCTTTTGTTATTTAAGGAGAGTATCATTTGGGTTTAGGATAGACAAAATACATTTAGGAAATGATCGTTAAAAATAAAAGTCAATTGAGACCATTGATTTAGGTGATGTAAATGGTAATGTACTTTAATAGAATTCAAACTAGTTTTCCTAGAGCAACTTAAAGAAATATTTTAGATGATAAGTATTCTTTTTATCCAAATGGCTACGCGAAGTGCTGATTACATTTCAGCTATTCATAACATGACACCAAGCCTTTCTTGTCTTGAGACGAGCTCACAGTTTACCTAAAGATGAAACAGAAACACATTTATTTCACCTGCAGCCCCATTATACAGGAAAATCTAACGAATGTTTTGTTCCCTCCTATAGCCTAAGATAAAATGGCTTTCTCTGCCTCCAGTAACTGGGTTCTCCTCTCGATGTCGGTGACCAGATTGGTGAAATATGATGGCGCCGGCTGGCGAAGAGACCGCTGCTTGATATCAAATTCGGAAAAACGCCGCTTTACGATGACGCTGAGGTAATATGATTATATAACCGCAGACTTTTTTCCACAGAGATGATAATGTGTTATTAATTCGCGATTCTCTTACCTCATCCGCAAAGTCCACATGTTCTGCGACATCGAATCTGAACGAAAGCGTGACTCGGATTGTTCCTTTGGCTACAGATCTTGGCATACCTTGGTTGCTTGCAAATTGGATACCGATCCCGACAGGCTGGAAATCATTCGTTAAAAATTTTAAAAACATGCACACTATCAATAATCTCTTTTGATGAATTACTTCAATTGACGCCGTCGTGGAGAATCGCTTCACAAATTAGAAGTAAAAGCTTATTAACAAGCTGAATCTCCGCTCCAATGGGAAATTATGCTGCCCCTTTTACGCCTTAACGAGGCCAATTAATATTTCCACGACAATAAAACTTGGTTGGGATGTTTTTTCAGTCTTTTCATTTACTTCACCACGATATTGCAATAAAATTACCAAAATTAAATATAGTATTGTATGGCAATGAAAATACTGATATCATGGTCGAGACGCTGGAGCAAACTTGACTATAAACACTTTGGAAACTACCTCACAGAAAATAAAATGCAAACGTCTTAACTCTTACTAACCTCTTTTCCCTAGATCCAAGTCTCCTACTAAATTGATATAAAGAGGAAGAAATGAGATCACATCAATGAGACAATGAGATTCAGTAGTCGTAGAAATAGGGCCAGAAGACAAAGACATTTTTTCTTTTCTCATCGGGAAAAATTAAAGAAAAATCAACAACCTAAATAACAAATTCATGACTGTGCATCTTTATCGTTTATTGCGAGTGAAATAGTTTCCCAGTTCGAGATAATTCACAGGAAAATAGCGGCTTGAACATAGATATTTTCACCGATCAAAGCTTTACAATAAAAGACATTCATAAATTTGAAGGAACTTACTTGCGAGCAAATTGAAGAATTTCCACTTTGAATATTCATAAATGCAAAATGTTTTTTTGGACACACCGATCCGCGATGTTAGAGTAACTGCTATCAATTTGGTTCTGTACTTCGTATCTTGTAATTTACCACACCTAAGGTTTCTAATGATCCTTTTTTCTTTGTTGGAACAACGACGATATCTTTGTGAATTTAGGAGTCGATTTAGGAGTCGACCAACTTTTTTTTTTGAAAATAAGCGTGCCCCCAACCTCGAAATTTATACAACTTAAACAATAACTTGCCTTCATTTCTTCGCCATGGCCCGTTTGCTTCACGCACAGACATCGCGGTCACATGGGCAAGAACCGCAGCAAAAATGACCGTTACACAGAAAAAAACGCGAAGGTTCATCCTATAAGGAAAGCTGTTGAGAAGAAGTGAAGGTGTTGTGGGTGTGTTATATTTGAGCTGACTTCAACCTCGTACTACTCATAACTAGCCTGGTGTAAATTGAATGCGCATGAACAAACCAACATCACCTGCTTCAAATACTTGGTTGTTGAATAGCCTTGTTAAAAACTGATGATCTCAAAGGAAAACATTAGCTTGTTTTTCTTAGGTTAATTACATGTTATACAGGTGTCTTTTCAAATGGCTCTGAACAGTGGTCTAAATTCACCGAATCATTAATACTTCTTTTAATCACTGGTGTCCTATATTTCTCCGACAAATATCTTTTATCGCGCTGATAATTTAGAGATCTCACAGTAATTCTCTCGTATTTGGTAGCTGTGAAAAATTTTTTTTTGTCCTTTCGATGCTCTGACTTTATCACAGGTGAATGGTTTAATAAAAAACATATTACATTCATATTACCGTAATGAGGTAGAAATTAATGATTTTCTGTGCAGTTGAGAGGATGAAGCAAAAGAAGAATGATTAGTTTTCTTCTTAATCATCAATCGGCGAGAGTGGTTAACCACAGACTGACTCTAGTCGTCTGAAGGCTTAATTCATATCTTTCTTTTACCATAAAATTAAGGTATATTGATTATAAATATTTAAAGTTTGCAGTAAATAAAGCCGTTTTAGAATAGAAATTCATTTTAAACTGGTTACTTCTCTCTCCGATTCGCAATGTCATTTCGGTAAATTGTTAAAAACCTCATAAGTTTTAACTTGCTCCAATTTCCTATTTTTGATGATGAGTAACTCACTTGGCATTTTATAAAAAATATAACCAAAAATCCTATATTGGTTACCAAATTAAATAGTACCCTCAATCTTTTTTCCCATCACAAACAGGACCTAGACGCTTGTCTTGATGTTGCACTAGTTTGAATAATTAATAAAGAGGTCTTGCGTCCATCGATAAGAAGTCCAGTCCTTCAATATCAATTACACTGGTAATGTTTCATAAATTTAGTCGAGCTCCGCTTTTAGGCTTGGCTAAATGTATATATTACAATAAGGATATAGTTATGTATAGCCTTTTCACTCTAACTGGCAAACTGAATATGGCCTTGATAACGTCGGTATGAAATATTAGTATCAAAGTGGAACAAACCAATTCGGGTGACACTTAACACTTCATCTTAGAAACAGAGATTAGTTATGCGCAGTAAGGATGTAAAGGAAGATGGTGCATTTGGATTAATTGCATGGTAAGGAAATTCACTTATGATCATCTGTTTGCCTGATTAATTCCCCAGTGTAAGGTAAACCTCAACATAAAGTGTCGCAACGTAATTCTACCTGAATGGTAGGTATTTCTGACTCCCTTGATGCTAGGATGATTTGTATTTGGCCGGCGTAGCCGAAGGTTTATTCGGGGGCTTGTTGAAAATGTCGGGCGTTACTATGAGTGACGAATCTTCCTACTCATTTCCATTCCTCCCACGGCTTCACCGCTTATTTTCATGACTCAAATGCTCAAAACTATCACACTTTTTATTGAAGGCTCACTCACTACTGTGTTCAAATGACCTATATCATTTTTGGGGGTAAGTTTCTAAAGAATCTGTTGTGCCGTGTCGATGAGGGATACAACAAGATAATCAGGTTTTATCAATCGATTTGACGATGTAAATCGGCCACCGTAAAGACTTTCTGAAGCTCATGCTTCAAGCGTTAGCCACTCGTCAGTTTTCATTCATGCCAGTCGATGAAAATCGGCGGATGTCGATCGATATCATCTCAAGCAATTCAATGAAGCTGATGATTGCTCTCTAATCGAAAAGGAAATTTTTTTTTCAAAAACTTTGACATGATTCATTTTCAGAGTTTTTCATACATTCGATTTAATGGGTTGCCTTCCATTCATAGGGAGACCGCTATTTTCTGTTGATATTCATCCAGATGGATCTCGATTATCATTTCATGTATTCTGCCTCTCCCGATTCTAAGTAAATTTTATGTTCACACAGGGAAAGGAAACCATCCGCAACTTAATCTTGTCTCCAGTCTCTTGCTTAAAACGTTCATTCTTTCAGTCGTAGTTACATCGAAATAAGTACATCAAATTTCCGTCCGCTATTGCGCCTGCGTATTTTGCACCTGGCTGTTTGGTAAAAACTCGCAGAAGGAAGAATTAAAAGCACCTCGACGACATGCCACAAATCAACTAACTTTACATATCAATGGTGCTGAGTGACTTCTGTTTAAAAGTCAGCTGGTCCGGAGGTAAAGAGATGTTTGAGAAAATTACATAACATCTTGAAATAAATGATCTTTTTGAAAGAATTAATTAACGAAAGAGGTGAACATGCTCATGATTAATTGACAGATGATGTTAAAGTGAATGACTCAGACATTCTCGATAAAAAAGAACTTCGAGGGTTCCCTATGGCCGTTTCGAAACTACGACCGTAGGACGCTCTACCACTGAGCTGTGGCAGAATCGAGGGAGGCTAGGCTATTTAAAAGTTTTGTTCTTGTTTTTCCTTTTCATTTTTTGAACATCTAACCATTCCGCGATACTGGGTGCTCTAGACTACTCACACTTTAGTTAGTTTAAACCAAGCGAGACTAATGCCACATTAATGTATGTGTACAGCAACTATAGGATAATCCCTGCCTCTAGACTGACTTCGCGAGGGGTACAGCGGGAAATTTTGGTGGTTTATTGCCATCAGACTAGCGGCAGTAAGCCAATAAACCAAAGTTTGAACACTTTAAGAGCTTGAATGGCGAACGTAACCTTACGACAGAATACTGAAGTTTTTAAGAACGATCATATTTTTCATTTGCAAAAAACTTATCGAAACAGATATTTCTACTTAAACCTTGTTTTTATTATGGTTGTAGAAATGCAATTCGTAGTTGATTTGATCTTCAAAAGTGTATTCGCCTTTTACAAGGGACAAGAACTGAAATGTTTTAAAGATAAACTTACCTTAAAAGCTGTCGGCTGAATGAAGGCGGTAGAAAAAGAGCTGTTTTATCCGTATTTTTATTCGTCGAAAAAAATTGAAAGTTTACACTGTGTATGGTGTACGTGACTGGCTACAAAAGAAGTTTAGTTTAATTTTATCATTATGAAAGTAAAACAAACTCCCCGAGGCATGGTGATGTTTTGTTACAAGATTATGCCGGCATAAAGGTTTTGTTAATTGAGAGCATAACACTGCCAGTTCGTAGAAAAGAAAAAAAACTAAAGGCGGAAAAGCAGTTTTTCCTTTTTTGTTTTATTAAGTCTCATGTCGAATGCGTGCTGCTGTGAAAGAATACAATTCAAATCTTCAATTCAATTTTAATTTTTTCAATTTTATTTAAACTCACACGAATACAGTGTATTAGAGGTGATAATTAGTACAGCAGTGTTACAAATATTAATATAAAGAATACAGTGCAATAGGGAAACGAAAAAAGAACCCAAAATAATTTTCGATTCATTGTTACTAAGGATATCTAAGAAATAAAAGAAGGACAGGTAGAAAAGAATGTTTAAATATTTAATGTTAATTGTGTGGAGTTTGGGACACCCAAATAGTTCTTAGAACTAATCAAGTGGGTGCGTTCAGGGCAGTTTCTGTCGCTGTTAATTTGTAGGAGTTAATCTTTGCTGGTCCATTATAATTCAACGCGTATAACCCCGAGGCGTTTTTTCTAAAGCTGGTCAGTAATTATAACTCAGCAGCCAGCCATTAATTGTCTATACGCATTTTTAGTTCGCGAAAATTAGCGGCAAAGCCGCGCGAGGCTTGGACGGAAAATCGTCATCAGTCCCAAGCCTCACGCGTACAGAGCCTCTTAAAGCTCTAGCCTTGCGTGATGGGAACCTATGAGATCAACTCCATAGAGAATATATAAATCCTTTAGAGAGGCCTGTAATCACTCTTGAAATAATTAATTTTTTAAGTTTCTTCAACGTCGCTTCCTATTCTATAAAGAAAGATAATAAGACACCGACAACCGAATTAATGTTGTTAAACAGCGGAAATTTTTATCTCCCCTAGTTTAATGCTTGGATATTTCTATGAGTTTTTCTGAATTAGTTTTGTTAATTTACGCTTCCTGGCTTCTTACTTTGGTCCTATTTTAAAACCGACACAGATGGCAACTTTAAGAGCAAGTAACCTGGGCTGGAGTAAACAGCGGTATTGTGGTCCAGCGGTTACTACATTAAACGCTGGTAATTAAACATGGTGGCATGGACAGTTTGAAGTTCGCATCTCAGCTGTTTTTATAATCTTTCTTAATATTTGAGACGATGCGAATCCTGAAACCAAACTGGGTTTCACACGAAGGTAAAGCTATAGATTAATATTTTACACGTAAGTGGTTGAAGAAAAAATTAGTTTTCCTTGGAACTAGCTGTGATCTAAGCTTCTGGCGCGACAGTTCAAATCCTCAATCATGTTTTCTTGGGAAATTCTTTTGACCTCCTGACGAATCTCTCTGAAAATCAATTTCTAAACTTTTTTCATTCGACTCAAGAGTTTTAATTGTTTGGTTTTTGCGCGTGTCCAACCTTGTATGAGTAACTTTGAACCTCGCATAATTGATCTAGAACACGCGCCCCGTCCACATTGTTGTCAACCGAGATTAGTTAAAAACTGCTAATCGATTGAAAAGTGTTATTGGCTTTGCTGATTTTTCTTTTCTAGGGAGACCACTATTTTCTGTTGATATTCATCCAGATGGATCTCGATTTGCTATTGGTGGCCAAGGTACGTGGTGTACATGTACACAGTTTACAATTTGTAAGATTGTCCTTGCTGCTGGCAACGGTCAAAATGCTTTAAGGGCCCTCACGCCACCTCGTTGGTAAGCTAGGCAGTTGTCAGGCAGAAAACAATGTTCTATTGGTTTTTTTCGTTTTGCACATTTAGCTGATGGTAGGCAACACCTCTACAACACCTGTAGAGCAGCAAGTACTTAAAATTTGCAACGAAATCGAGATGTTGTTTTTATCGTTATTGACTTATTCCATGCTGATATTTAACAATTTGGATTTTTAATTGCTCCAGATTAAGATTTAGAAGAATGAGATTGAAGGCAAAGTGTGGAAGTGTGAATATAGGAAATTAAGGGCTGCAGCTGGGGCTGTTAGTGGCTAGTAAACTGAAATTAGACTAAACAAGAGGACAATATCTGGTGAAAAGTGGCAGATGCTAAGAGGATATGGAAGTGGGAAAGGGGGTCCTGAGAATGCTCTTCTAGTGTGCAAACTTTCAAGAAAATCATGAGGTTTTTACAAAATGAAAGGGAAAATTCATGGGTCACATATATTTCAGGAGGCATGTCACTCCTCACACTCACACTCACACTCACACTCACACTCACACTCACACTCACACATGTCACTCCTCACACTGGTTCATAAATTCACAACTTATGCTTACCATTAAAAAAAAAAATTCATGTGTCATGTATAAATTTTGTCCTTAATCACTTGTCACATGTATAACAATTGCCATCCTCCCTGAACCTGTAGTTAATACTCTGATGCATTAACAAAAACGTGTGTTCAAAACAGTGTACCTGAGCATCAAGAATCCATTTTAATGTGCTACAGTCAACTACATTTTCACATTCACATTCAAGTGACACAATGCATGATGGTTTAATGAGTTAATTGATTGTTAATAAATATATTTTTTCTCAACACATAAGCATATTATACTCTTACTCAAAGTATCTAGAAATTTCTTACATGTATCTTTTTCTGGATGCATAGTGCATGTTTTCTTATGTTTATGTTGACAATTTTCAGGGGATGATTCAGGAAAAGTCACAATTTGGAACATGGCTCCTGTGAAAAATGAGGAAGATGAAATGAATGAAAATATACCCAAGTTATTGTGCCAAATGGACAATCATCTTGGTGGGCTGCATCTTATTAAGTTGTTGTGCAATCAATTGAGCGATTGAATATGTACTTGTGCATTGCACATGTGCAGTTATATTAGCACTTTCTGTTTAGATGAATATGTTACTTATGTTTTGGCAGCTGAACATTTCAATCCCATCTACTTTTGCTGCGTATAAGGTTCAAGAGACAACAAACATTTAACTCTGCAGGAGTTATGAATGTGCTTTGTGTGTTGAAAGCATTATGTAGATGAGTTTCCCTGTTAGCCTTTTCATCCCTAGGAGTGACAGGCATCTACCGTATTTATTCGACTATAAGCTGAGTGATTTTTACACAAATTAAAACTGAAGTGAATTAAAATTTGGGCTCTAGAGGGCTAATAGCTGAGATTGGCTTATAGCTGAATAAATATGGTAATATTTCACCAGAATAAGACCCTGAATCACACATTTAGGTCATGAGGATAAAGGAAGTTCACCAACACAGGGAGCATTGATTGTTAAACAAATTCTCCTTGTTAACTCCTCAAGAAATGTACAGAGAACAGTATGGAGAATATACATGTATATACTGTATGTTAGGGTGTAAAGGTTTGATGAAATACTGTAAATCATAAGTGAATTATTTTTCAGCATGTGTGAACTGTGTTAGATGGTCTTGTGGTGGAAAATATCTTGCAACTGGAGGAGATGACAAACTCATCATGATTTGGCAAATGGCAAGGTAACAGAGAAAACCTCATGCCAAATTAATCCTCACAAGTACATGTAAACAGTCTAACTGCTATTCTAATAGTAGACATTTGTCTTTGAACTGGGACCAGGATAATGGGAGCAGCAGCAGTATTTGGCGGTAACAACAGTAAATTGAATGTGGAGCAGTGGAGATGTGTAAACACTCTAAGAGGTCATAGTGGAGGTGAGTCTCTGGTCAAAGGTCAAAGGTTTTAACATTTGTTTACTGGCACTATTTCTCATTTACTATTGTTAGCTGTGCCAGGTTAATGCCTGTACATTTGTATATGTGTGCCACTACAAGCTGCAAACTTAGAACCATGCATTTATGTACATGTGTACATCTTGAAAAAATTAACCCTTTAACTCCCCGAAGTGATTTGCATATAACTTATCCCTGCAATATCCATCCACTATCCATCAAACAGGTAATGGGAATACTCAAATGTATCAGGTAGAAGTTTTTATCTTGATCTAACGCCAAATTCTTGCAACTAGTTTAAAGGAAATATCTAGCAGCTAGAAGGGAGAATTAACAATCAGATCCTGGGAGTTAAAGTGTTAAGACTGAAAAAAAGATCAGAAAAGGTGGATGCAACAAAAACAAATACACACTGAAAGTCACATGACCCACTCTTAGGCCTGAACAATTTTGTACTAAGAATTTCACCCTTACTCTTTTTCTCTTAGCCAGTGGAAAGCAACATGTTATATTTCTCAGTCAGTGCATGTGCTTTTATTGGTTAATTAGCAGGTGATATTTAACTGTTAGGCCCACAAAATTCAAAAGTTTCTTTTGAATTAAAATCTTCCCCTCCTAGTTGAACCCAAAGATATAATAAGTATCTTTAGTTAGTAATCTTGTTTTTTTGATTGGTGCTGTTTGTTAAGAAAGTTTGTTTTTGCTACTCAGATTTAAAGCCTGCATGCTTTCATGCTTAAGCCACAAATCTAAGTGGGAAAAAACTTTGTGCAGAACTTACAGTATGCAACTTGGAACTTAGCTAGTAAGAGGTTTGAATTGTACTTGAACTGTTAGCATTAACAGTCTTCAAGTTTGTGTATGTAATGTGTAAGGTTTAACCTTGTAAGCTTGTGTGACAAAGCTGATGAGCACTTCTTTCTTGACATTTACCCCATGTGTTTGCATCAGATGTGTTGGATCTGGCATGGTCTCCAGATGACAGCTTCCTTGCATCAGGAAGTGTTGACAACACCATCACTATTTGGAATGCTCAACGATTTCCAGGTTAGTGGCTAATTCTCAAATTATTTTATGTTTTGACAGTAGCAGTGTCAAATTTTTTTTTTGTGTGTGCAAACTTGCCCAAAACTGTGAATTGAAACATGTCTCTTGCAAAGAAATGAACAACATCCAGTAGACACCAATGTACAGTTTGATATTTTGAATGTTTGGGCTTATAATTATTGGCTGCTATTGAGTAGTTGTGACAACAGAAGTGTTTTTTGGCCAGACTCCAGATCTGTAGCTCAAGAGTTTGAGCCCTGGCTGGTTAAGTGTATTGTGTTATGTTCTTAAGCAAAACACTTCAGTCTCATGTTACATGTACCTCTTTTCACTCATGCACCGAAAGTTGGATAATGCTATCCATTGGATAAAACTCTATTCAGTGGAAAACGCTATACATTTTGCTATCACTTATCTGCTAGATAGCGATTTATCCATTGGATAGCGTTATCTGCTCCTCATACAACCAGGCTTAGGAATATAAACAGGGACCCTGATAATCCCTACCATAGAAATTGCTTTAACCCTTTTACTCCCAAGATCTCACCATTACATGTAATTCTCCTTACTGTCTGTGGTTCGATTCTTATGATGATACTTTAGAGAATCTGGTATTAGATCAATTACTTGTCCCATCATTGATATTTTCCTTTATTCTCAACATTTGTCTGTTTGATTTTATTTCAATATTGTAAGGAGAAATTCTGTTTTGGTCACTCGTGGGAGTTAAAAGGTTAATATGTGGAAAAGGGAGTAAATTTCTAAAGAAACTGTGATGTTGCATTTGTGGGAGATTCATGAACTGCTGTACTACGAGTTAATTTGCTTTTATCAAATAAGTTGGTAATGTAAGTTGGCCTCTAAAGAGAGTTTCTAAAGCTGATATTTTGAGCTCTAGCCCTTTGTCAATTTATTATGATAAAGGTTTCACACTAGAAACATCAGGTTTTGAAACTCTCCAGGGTGGCCAGGTTATGAATTCAGTTGATAGACAAAGAAATATTAAAGCTGTGGCAATCTAAAAGACTATTTTGAGACCCAACCTTGTATGATATTGTTTCTCTTATTTAAATCTTATTTCTTTTCAGATGTTGTTACTGTACTAAAGGGCCACAGTGGTATGGTCAAAGGCATCACTTGGGATCCTGTTGGAAAATATCTTGCCTCTCAATCCGATGACAAGACTTTGAAGGTTTGGCGAACATCTGATTGGCAGCAAGAGAGTGAAGTAACTGAGCCATTTGCTGAATGCAGCGGCACCACCCATGTTCTTCGTCTCAGTTGGTCACCTGACGGACATTATGTGGTATCAGCACATGCAATGAATAATGCAGGCCCAGTGGCAAAGATCCTTGAGCGGGATGGCTGGAAGATGAGAATGGACTTTGTTGGACACAGGAAAGCTATTACGTGTGTGGTAAGATTTGATATAATGAAAGATAAAAAAAATTGTGGATAACTACAATAATTGTATAACAGCAGATTTTGATCATGTTGTCTGATCATGCTCCACGAGAGTAGTGATGTATAATTTAACATTCCAGACACTTTGTGCTTACACTTAGACACCTTGACACTTAGAACTGCATGATTTAACATGCCTTATATTTTTGTGCTTGGAGGTTCTTAGAACTGCATAATGTCGTGTAACAAATTCTGTGTTGAGTTGCATTTGAATTGCTTACTCTGAGTACCTACCCACCACATCTTTCTACTGTGAGTTAGTAAAAGACTGTTGATTAAAACCTGAAGTTTAATTGGTGAATGTCACCTTTATATTACAACAAGTACTGTAGTCCTGTAGAGTTAGGACAGTGGAATCAAGAATCAAGAGTCAACAGTGGCTTTTATAAACTAACTTCACTGAATTTGTTAACTCTAAACAGAGATTCAACCCAAAGCTATTTGTAAAGAAAATTGGTGAAGAATCATCCAGACCCAAGGTAACATTAAAAACATGTAACCTCGATGCTTACATTTACATAATTATATCAATGAGAATTCTTGCATTTTACTCATCAAATTTTGTTGTATATGTATGTTGCAATAATGTCAACAGCAGATTGTTTTTTTTCAAGTTGAGGCTTTGCAATCTGGAGTTATTTTTGTGTTTTCTAACTATTATATGAAGACATACATTATTGTAGTGTGTTGTTATTTATTTGTTTTCAGCCTGAGACAATTAAAACCAAAAATCTGACTTGTGAATTGAACCCCAGACCCTAGTTTCACAGTTTCATGCTCTATCTCTTAGCTACAGAAAACATGTTAGTGACCTCAATACATGTTCATATAGATAAAGAGACCCACTTTATGAACAATTGTTTTCTTAGTTTGTAATATGTGACTGTGTTTGAGAAGTGAATCAGTTTTCTTTTTACTTGCTAACCAAACTCAAGATTTATGAGTACCTCTAGTTCATATTTACAAGTTCATTTATGATCATTTCATTTTCGTCATATAGTATATATAATGTACATGTATACATGTAAATATACATGCCTTTTACATGATTGTTTGCTCTTTGTCCTCAGCAATATTCTTGTTGTGCAATTGGAAGCAGGGATAGGTCTCTTTCAGTGTGGGTATGTACATGTTTCCTGAATTTTTAAGCAAACTACAAGCTAGAATTTGACATGACTATGCAGTGAATAACTTAATATATAATATATATTGCTGATTGAATATTCAGTGCTAGATATGTGACATATTGTATACAGAAGCTATTGAAAGTGGCTAGATCAATCATGTAGTGGTGAAGTTGATAGTGAGAATGCAAACATTTCAATTAAACACAGTGAAGTCAAATTTTAGAAAAGGCTCCCTAAGAAATGGTGTCAAAGAGGCACTTACAGCTTGCATTCAAATGAGCCCTGTCCTCTGTTCCTCCCTTAATTGCAAATTTAACTAAACTGATTTTCAGATGAAACCCTCTTTTTCTACAACAGCTAACATCCCTCAAGAGGCCTCTTGTTGTTATGCATGACTTATTCAATCACTCAATCATGGATGTATCCTGGTAGGTCTTCTTGACAAAAATCTGTACATGTTAATGTTAAACTACTTTTGACATAAGAAATTTGGCAGTATCACAAATAAATATTTACAAATAAATACATTATATCTACCCTACACACTCCTAGAAATTGCTTAGAAATTAAAACATGAAAACCTTGAAGGAATACATTATGGCTGTTGACATGATTGTGAACGAGCATGCAAAATTGTTATTGGAAATTGAGTCACAGTTCTGTACATGTATCTCTGCTAAACCAGAACTTGCTGTTCCTTTGATGTTGGAGTCACCTCTCCCCTCCCTCTCTCCTCTCAGCATATCAGGCAGTCAGTTGGTGTTGAGGTTTGCTCTGGCTTTGCTTGCAGGAGTGATTCAGGTTTTCAGCTGCTGGTTTGTTCATGGGATGGATCTGTGGCGTATGCTGATTTCACAGCCGAGGAACTGGGTAGGCCTATGACTGAGGAGGAAAAGGTGTGTGTTCTTTGCTGAAATCTCTGAATTAATATAAATCAGCTTTGGTTGTTGATATACATGTAGAGCAGCTACATCATCAGAAAGATGGGTTGTCATGCACTTAAGTCTCATTTTTCATTAAAAGAGTATCTGCTGAAAGCAGGGCCTTCCAGACACTGAAAAGTAATCAGCGTACAGAACTGATGGAATAGATTTCAATATCTCTAAATTAAACTAGCTTAGTGTTTGGTGCCAAATCATGAAATCCAAACTTTTTCCACTGACCAGATTTTGTGGACATAGTGTCTGCCAAATGCCACATACATACTTATGGTCTTTTAGTACATTATAATTATCTTTGCACTTTTTGTATGAAGGATTATACAAATGGGAGAATATCATGCTGCAATAAATGAAGTTAGGAAATAATTGAAATGAACGTTTGATTAAAGAATGTTAGTTAAAAAAGCGTTTGATTGTGTGCCTTTTTGTGCACGATTTAATGTCTATTACAAAATTTGCCTATTAACAGTAGAGTGTAGAGTTCTCGACGTAGTTTCTCTACAACATTATCATGTGTTGTTGTCGAGTTTAAATCACACACAGTCAGTGTTTTAATTCGATTATTAAAGGTCATTCTTAACTGCTGTACAGCATTTAAGATTTCAATTTGGATTTGTCCATTCAACCTTCATTTTCCCTTGTTTGTTTTGTAGGAAAAGTTCCACAAACAGGTTTATGGCATTAGCATCAACAGCAGCAAGACGAACTTAGCCAGTGCCATTATTGAGAATCCCGAAATGTTAAAGATTCAACAACGACACGCAATGAAACAACAGACACTGGCCAACACAAACAAACCTCCTGCTCCACCTCCCCCGTTGATTCCGTCAGGAACACCAACCAAGCAAGATTCGTCAGCTATGAATGGTAAGTGTTTTGAGAACGTGGTGTACCACAGACAGCCCAAGCTCGCTCAATGCGCCTCGTCAGCAAATATGAAAATATGTCTGTATTGCGCTGTAGGCGAAGTACAGTGTAAGGATTTGTGTCCGAATGAACGTCGCATCGGTATCAGGTGACTTCGTCCCCATGCACGGTCGCCCCAAGTTTCGTCGCTCCCCTTAAAGGTCAAAAGTTGAGGGCGACACAACCACATCAAGGGTCGACGAAACTTGGATCAACCGTGCATCAGGGCGATATTACCGATAACCATCGCATCCTTAACATGAAAATGTCAACCATAGTTTTGAATTAAAACACACTTACGATATACCTCGCTTCTCTATTTGTTCCTTTAAGTCTTGTGTATTTTTTGACGCTGATTTACTACAGTTAAACTGGTTTTTAGTTCCCTTGCCTTTTTCTTCGATGTTAAATATTCTCAGAAAAATCCTGATATTTCGCCAGTGGCACAACGTCACCATTTTTTTTCTTAATATTAACTATGGCTCGCTCTGTGAGCTTTAGCTATGTACCAGTCGTCATCTTTTGTTAACCTGGTGGTATTACAGTACACGAGTTTTCATTGACTTCTATATTTTTCTCTGTGTGTTTCAGGCAGCACTCCCATGAAGAGTCCGTCATATTCATTGACCAGTCCAGTTACAAGGAGCCCAATTGATCCTGTGGTGAGTACAGACTGGGAATTTTGATTTGATGTATGTCGCATGCGGAAATGTTCGATTTATTTCGCCCTTTAAAATGCATATACGTACTGGATAATAAACTTTACATCCAATTTTTTTTTTAACCTTTAACCCTTTATTCTCCCAAAGTCACCCGCTTCTAATATCTCCTCACATTATCAATCCTGAACCAAATACAAAGGTCATGAGAATAAAAGAAATGATCACCATTTAAAAAAGCTCCAGATTGCTAAATAAATTCTCCCCGTCAGTATCATAGGAAATGTAAAGAGAACAGTTTGGAGAATATGAATACTAATAATGTCAGGGTGTTAAGGGTTAAACTTGTATTGCCAGAAAAGCACAATGGTGAAACCGCTGGCCTCCAACCACTGTTATCCAGGTTTGTTTCCAAAACCCAGCATCCGATATGGGTTAAGTTTGTTGCTTTAGTTTCTCCGGTGTTGCTTTTGCAGAAATACCGAGCTTTCCCAATTCAGTTGGATAGAATTAAGAGTACTAGGACGCATTCGTCCTGTCTAATTAGCTTTTAAAATTTACTAACTGAACGTCTGGAACGGTCTAATTTGGCCTGGATCCGTGAATGAAGAACTACCGCGTGCATTTGGCACGTAACGTCCATTTATTTTCATTAAGCCAGATTTTGTTTCTCTGTAGAATGTTTTAGAAAAGCAAGTGGAAACCAGAACCAAAGATGGTCGTCGCCGCATCACTCCACTCTTAGTTTCAACTATGGAAGTGAGGTGTGCTGCTTGCTATGTTTTCTTGTTCTTGTACAACCCCTATATAGAAGCAACGTTTTACTTGTGTTCATAAAACCTTGTTTGTTTTCAATCGTATACCTTTAGAAAATTTGGTTCATTTAAATTCGAGAACTGCAAAACCCAATTTTACTTCCCTTTGAAAAAAGAAAGAAAAAAAAAAGGAGCCAAGGAATGATGAAGCGAGACATGAAACAGCGCAAGAGAGGAAAAGGCGCTAGTGTTCTCCGAAGTTTTTAAAGACAAAACAATCGGATTAGTAATTACGGCCGCAGGGGTGAAAACCGTCGAGATAAATGAACAGTACGATAAATGTGGGCAAATCCAAGCGATTTGGTGAACTGGCTTTTGTTGATCTTTTAAAACTTTAGGTCACCGAACGACATTCGAAAGTACAGCAAACAAGAAAATAAGAGAAAAGTGAAAATTTGCAAAGACAAAATGTCAAGAATACTGCAGTATTTTCAAGAAAAGGAATAAGGACAGTAACGGAAAGGTTACTATTCCTATTCCTTTTAAATCTCCGATTCGAAGAATCGCCTTTGCAGTCCGAATTTCCTGCCGCCTAGAAGTTTTTTTTTTAGCTTTAAGAATACAAATGCGTTTGTCAGGAAAAGCATCGCTTGCCGTTTTGAAATGAAAACCTTTGCAACGTCGATGCTCTGTTCGATAGCGGAAAAATTTCAGGGCAATAAATGGAAAAATTTCATTGATTGACTATCGCAAATCGGACCGCCTTTGTCTTGTTGCAAAATACTTTGTACTCATCTGCTCCACAGTGACTCGCCTGTTCCTTTTGGAGGATCTTCAGCTGCTATTTCACCCCCCGGAAATTCAAACCCAAGTGGCGCATCTCAGGTGTCGAACTCAATTCCAGCCACATCCCAGGTAAAAGATGTTTACATGTAGATTGACGAAGATAGTACATTTGAAGCTGGGTCTTTGGGTCATGTCGGTCTCCCTAGGTCATAGGTTTCTCCATTTGAATAACATTCTCCTATTTTCGACGAACCAGCTCTAAATTTGCCACCTTTTTTATCCATTTACAAACACGACTTATCTAAGCAGTATACTGGCCCTTGAACCTACTTCATACCCCAGCTCGTCAACAACTGGTTTCTAGCATTTTTGTAAATACTGCACATCTTTTTCTTATCTGTGCGTTACCAGAGGTAATATCTCGGATTACCTCTCACATTCGTTGGAAAACTGCTCTGTGTAAAGAATTATCACGCAGGCTATGGAGTTACACGTTTCTCCAGGAAAAGTATCTTTACGTTGAACTGAATATTTTTCCTATTTAGAATTTAGTGGCACTGGACTCGAGAATCGGCGAAAATGCAACGACAGGATTCACAAGCAAGTAAGAATAGTTAATTTGATTCATAAATAAACGTACCTACACCGTACAATTTTCATGTTGGCCCGAGTGTAATCTGTAAAGGATCCGAAGGGAAGACTCGGCGGCGTCATGTTATTACAATTAATCAAACGATCTGGATTCGAGTTCTACTGGTGGGTGATCGTGAGGTGTCCTTTGGTAAGACATAGGTATACTCCCTTTCGAGTATCCATTTAGTTAATGAATACTCCCTTCCCTTCTTTAAACCAGAAAAGGAAAAGCAGAGGATGATGGCCCGACCAAACGCACGCAACATTTCAACGCAGCGTCTTGCAACATTGTTTTGCGCACCGTGTTACACGCGTTTGGCCACCTTTTAGCAACAAGTTGCATCAGAGCACGCGCGCAATTATAGGTTTTCGTCTTTAAACATGACAGCCAATAATACCCAGGTCACGGGTCACCAAGAATGTGGACTGAGATGGAGACCACGTCGTTGCTAGACACGTTGGAGGATTGTTCGTGCCTTTAGAACATATTCGCGAAGTTGCAACACTCAAGAGAGACAAGGGAACAAGGGAACGAACTGTTATAAGGCGCTCTTGGTATCAGCGTGTGCGATATGGAGGCAAAAGTAGGTACATAAAGGTCGACGAACTTAACTGTTGCAAGATTTTGCGCACGTTTGGCCATTTCCTCTACCACATCTCAAAACACGATCCAACAATGTTCCAAGAGGTTGCGTTGAAATGTTACTTGCGTTTGGCCCGGCCCTAAGGGAAAGGGTCTGGGTGCCAAATAATCTGGGCTTGTGAATTGGTTAACTAGGGTAACCATCAGCCGAAAAAAAGATTGTAAAATTATTGAAGTCTGTTGCCAAAAAAAAAAAAACTAATAACAAATGTTCTTCTTTGGTGTTTAGGTCAAAGGACAAGACACCCGAGAGAGCAGAGATTCTTGCCGTAAAACCTGTGTCTGCCACTATGAAGCCTATCACAGCAACCAAACCTACCTCAACTCCCACAACAACGGTGTCTTCGACCTCTGCGTCAACTACTGCTACGACTATTGCGGTGAAGAGGAAATCAGATACGCCCACATCATCACAGTCTAAACGAGCCAGGAAAGATGGAAGCAGTTCAGGTATTTTGTATCTTAATATTTAGTTGGATCCATGACTGCAAAGAAAATGGCGCTTTTTTTTTTTTTGAACAATGGCATTTATAAAGGAAGATGATTATTCTGAGTGTCACGATTGTTAAACAAAGAATAAAATTAGAAAGCCTCACGAAGAATCGAACCTCAAACCTTCGGAGCTGACGGTTCCACGCTCTAAAAGCGATTCACAGATAACTCATAAGTGACTAAGGCCATATACGAAAGCCATATACAACATGCATAGAATCAGCAGTGCTGTGAGCGTCCCTTGTGCGGATAGAAAAGCAGACAGACTTTTTTGTAGACCAGGTTAGAAATATTTCACTCTATTTACTCTATTAACACTGGAATTTGTGTCAAACATCGAAACATATCTCTCTCTATGACAGTCAATACAGTTGAACTTCGTTTTTACAAGCTAACACCTAATATGCCAATCCCCTTTGGCCACATACAACAGGTTCGCCTTGGAAATTTTTTAAGGATTGCAATCACAAGCTGATAAATAAAACAAAAGCTATCATTTTTGTCTCTTGGAAAAGTGGTCGCTTTCAAGTGGTCTTCTAGGAAAGCTCGACTGTAATCAAGATAAGTTTAGCTCCAAATAAGCGTCCGTTACCCATCACTTCGAAATTCCGCTCTTTAAATCGCGATTCCACTCAGGCACTGTTTCCACTTAAGGGCTAGCACCAGCAACATGCACTTGACTAAATGTTTTTTCTATTAAACTTTGACCTTTCCGTATTTTGCAGGTTCAAAGAGTACAGGTGGCTCTAGCAATGTAAGTAACTGTAAAACCCGTCAGTCAAGCTCAGTTCTGCACCTTTCTTAACAGTGATTGAAAACTGTATTCCCCGTCGTGAATGCGAGAGAGCATGTTTCTCAGGGTATCAAATGATGTGAAGAAGAAATTTATAACACTGCGCTGAAATCCTTCTGCGTGTCCTTTTCAGGGTAAAAAGGGTTTTTAGAGTAATGCTTAGGTTCGCTTAAGAGTTATCCACTTTTTTGTTTGTTTGTTTGTTTTCTTAGTCTAAACAGCGTGAAGATAGGACAGATCAAGAGGAGAGTGTCGACGCCTCTTTACATGTGAGGCATTCTGTGGCTATTCCTTACCCCACCCCACAGAAAAATCTCACAGTCCAGGTAACTTTGTGATCTAAAATGTCAATGTTATTGAGCAGACATTTCTTATGGGGCGTGAAAATTATTTTCAAAAGAGTAATGTGTGATAACACGTGCTTTCACTTCCTTTGCAGATTAAAGGAAATGGTGGTGAGCCTGCCCTTACACTTGACCTAGAGAACAACTTGGCCAACCAAGGTAAACAAGGTTTCTACAACCGTCCAGTTAATTTTGTAGTCGCTTGAATAATAAGTTGGTCTCTACCACCGCAGACTTTCATTGTGTATGTTGATGAACATCGTTACCTTCGCATGAGAAAGTGATTTTCTCGGACAGATGTAAGGTCCATCGTAGCTCGCTCCCTGACGAGATGTCTCTAGTAGGAGGAATAACAATTTTTAGCTATTTTAGCAGAGCACCAAGCAGCCTTTTTTTGCTTATGTGCCTTGCAGGAAAGTGTATGTAGTTCATCAATCAAGGCTGAACGATTCCGCCACGTCTTGTTATCGAAGGAAAGATTTACAAATGGTAGTGGACAAATTCATAAATTTGATTAGACACAACGTTTCTTTCACTCATCCCTCTGGTTCTTTTTAGGGCCCAGAGCGCATATCTTGAAGTGTTCTGCTGCTGGTAAACCTTTGTGGGAGACTGTGATTATAAGTCCCGGTATAGCCTTGGCTGGCAATCGGTGAGTTAGGGTGGACTCCCTAAAGATTCTGAAGGAGTAAAATTATTTGTATTTCACCTCTAAATCCAAGAAGCTTGAGATACAAGGAAAGAACAGAGCCAATGATTTTGAGACCCAATGAGTCAACGCAAAAACGCAGATGAAGTATTTTTGTCAATTGTCAAATGATTTTTAACTTTGTGATCTCCTTTCATTTTGTTTCTCTGATTTTCATTCCCCGTAAAGACAAGTGGTCTCCGTGGCTTGTGAAAACCGAAGTATCGACATGTTTTCTTCCACTGGACGAAAGTAAGCAAGTGTCATTTCTATATGCAATTTACACCATAGTATGAACTTTGGGATTCGTGTTGCGAAGCGCTCACGTGAATTTCCTAAAAATGTTTGAATTATAATTGAACAGAATCCTACCTTCCATGGTGTTAGACTCACCAGCCTCCATTCTGCAGTGTAGCCGTCATTATGTCATGCTTGTCACCTCCTCTGGGGGAGTGTTTGTTTGGTAAGTATTCAACAAACGTCCTTTGGTTTTGAAGTTTTCTCTTTTTTTTTTATAGAACCTCTGCTAAGAAAAATTGTCGTGGTTGTTTGTTTCGTATTTGTTATTTTTTTTTTTTGAAAACCTGTTGGAGAGTACATTTAGTTAACACGACATTTTAAGTATAAACTTTTGACCCCTAAGAGTGACTCGCTTCTACTTTCTCCTTCCAACATCACTCTGAATAAAACATTAGGGTCACAAGAACTAAGAAAATGATCACCAACTTAAGAAAATCTTGATTTTTAAACAAATTCTCCCTGTCCACACCTTAGGATAACTAAAAAGAACAATGTGGAGAATATGCATTCTGATTTAAGGGTGTAAAGGGTTAAGAAACGTTTTTCTTTTTACCCAGGGACACAAAGAGAGTCACCGCAGTGCTAAAAAATGAATCAGTGCTTCCACTGCTATCAGGTATGTTGTAAAATTTGGAGGAAGAAAAAATTAACCTTTAGCGATTACGGGTACGTTACACATGTACATGTATACATTTATTATTTGATACATAAAAGATTTGCAGCAAATATTTGCAAACGCTGAGCTTACCTGTTATTCTACAGGTCCAGATGTGACGATTACTCGAGCCTCGATTTCAGAACGAGGATTTCCAATCATCACCTTGTCCAATCACGCATCTTATTCCTTGGACACATCTGTAGGGGCGTGGTAAGAACATGTTATTACAAATGGGTTCAAGCGTAACGTACAGTTGGAAAAAAGTGAACTCTGGCTCTGTTTTCTTTGTCCTAATTTCCACTGATCCTTTGAAGTTTGCTGTAACTGATCTTCACTCAAGGCCTTTCTATTAAGGCTAATAGCTTGAACTTGTGCAACATGTTTGATACTTGTTTCAGGAATTATCCTTCGTAATAGAATCTTGGGGTGTCAATCAAAGCCGATGGTCAGCGGTCTACCGCCGGCTAGAAGACCTTTTACCGCCGTCTGTTGAGCCGGCAAGCTGCAAGCAGGCTCTTGCGTTTGGGTTATGCCTTACTGCCTAGGCACCTAGTGCACGATGGGTAGCCACTTAAGGAAGATTTCATTAAAACACGTGAGAGTGATAACATTTGATACCCGCCATAGATGTCTAGTTGACAAACGTGTTCAGTCAAGATAGTTGGAAATTTTCCAAGCCCCTTTTTCGTTGCGTTTCCATGGACCAAGATGATGTGAAGGAGCGCTAATCACCCTTAAAAGAATGCGCAGTAAGAATGCAATAAGATATGTTGTTTATAGGGTGCAGCTTATTTACGCTGATGACCTCCTGGCTGTCAACTCTGACCATCAGTCGGTGGCGCCATCCCAAGATCCCCTTCAGGCGAAGGGTCCTCTCGCTCAACTACAAGGGCAGAGTTCGAGGTGCGTCTTAAAGTAGTTTTGTTGGTTTTAAAACTTAAGGATTTGAAAATTTATGACATTTTTCATGCTAAGTTAAATGCTGTCGAATCTCTTCAAACTCTGGCTCAAGACCTCTTCCACAACTGTAAAAAACCTCACATTATTTCTCAAACGACTGGAGGGCAGACGGCAAAAGTAGACTTACAATGGCTATTGCCATTTATGAAAACGCGTTGCTTAATTTATCCATCTAAAACATGTCTTAGTATTGATGTGTAAAATTTATTTTAAAATAATTTGATTTTCATTGTGTCAGAATCGGGCGTCAGTCCTCAAGAATCTTCCGGTCAAATACAGGGAGACAACAGTCTGCTACAGCAGTTCATCTGGAGGTTAGTCAGAAGCCGCAACTACTCAGAAGTTCATTTGATTCCCAGTGACATCATTCTTGAGATAGAATCTGCAGTGAGATCTCTGTCAAGCCTTTCCGGATTTTTGGTGTATTCAAGGAACTAGCATTTATTTTGAAATACATGCTCAAACCTCCGCGTGAATGGAGGGGGAAGGAGGCATTTAAGTGCAGCAGCACCACTTTTACCCCCCACTGGCGCGTGAGCTAATGTAATGCGATTCCACGGAAGTTATATTACAATATGCATCTTACATGCCAAGAGCAGAGAGAATTTGAGTAGGATATTAGTAACTATAGATGCACTTACTCTTCTTGTCGGTCATGCCAAGAGAAAGCTGGGCCTTGTGATCTGGGCCAGGTTGTTCAAAGTTGGGTTAAGATAACCCAGGGTTAGTGTGAAATCTGATTTCAGATCTAAAAGCTTTGAAAAGAAATTCAGTCGAATTCTTTTAGTCTAGAGTATGACTATTTGACACTTTAAATAAAACACTGGAAATTATCCCAAAAAGGCTTTTGAGTAAAGGAATAAAGAAACCCAGATTAAAATTTAACCCTGGGTCAGCGCTAATCGGCCTTCGAACAACTGGGCCCTGGTCATTTTAGGTGTAAATTTATTATGTTCATTTATTTATTTTCAAGAATCAACTGTCGTCTTGCGTCGCCTTGGGATCTGGTAAAGAGTACTATTTTTGGTTGACAACGTACGTACGGTATCTCTCTCAGGCAGGTTCGTGAACCTTTTTATATTTCAATTAACTAGCTTATTTCTACTCTGACTCCTCATTTCGTAAGGGGGGACACACACTCCTTTATTTGGCCAGACGAGGGAACTACTCTCAAACAAATTATAGTTTTCGGGGCCTGAAGGTGTACAGTTGCATCATGTAGTCTTGAGTAGAGTGTCTCGGGGCACAATTTATATGTGTGGTCCCAACAATCTCTAATTTTGACGATTCTTCCTGTTGACACGCCTCAATTTTCACAATTTTATGTCTTGAACAGGGTCGCGAAATAAACGGGTTTTGTTTACAAAAAAAGTTTAAAGAAGTCCGCGATTTACCCCCACCTTAAGTTTCCTCGTCTGCCCCTTCCTCCCTTGTTCTTCGGGTAAACGAGATGTTTCCACTCTTCCAAACGTCGTTTTAAAACTTGAGATGTGTGTTTTTAGGGTTTGAACCACGATTAAGGGAAGTTTGCGAGGAGCTACTTGGACCTCCACACAGGTAAAGAAACCAGATTAATAATGAACACAGAAAAGAAAAACAATTCGTTACTGAATTCACTAAGCACACCTTTAAATGAGCTCGTGTTTTCAATAATACAAACTGACGTTAACCCAGACTAGAGTTTCGTCAGTTTACAATTTAAAAAACTGCTAACCACCATTTTTTTTCTGTATTGTAGCTGGTGAATTTTCGTCAGTTAATTGGTTACACTGTTTCCTGGCTGCTTATTCTTTTTCATGTTTATTTGTTCTATGAACTCGGTCATTTAAACATTTACCTCCCATAAGATCGTTCATTTGTGATTTTCAAGACAGTCACAGACAATTTTCTTTTGGTTCACGTCCTTTTAGTTTTTGATTTGTTGTTGTTTTGTTTTTGTTATTGTTGTATAATTTTTGGTTTTGTGTTGTTTGTATTTTTTGTTTGTTTACATTTTGTTCTTATTTTTTTATAGAACAATAGGAGCACAAGACAAAAGTGTCAATTGGAACCCTACCATACTGGTAATTGTGACAAATCAACTTTTCCTTTTTTGAATTTATGTATTCAATTTTTATTTTTTGTCTTTTTATTGGTGTTAGTGCAATTTACCGTTAGAGCGTCGAAAGTTACTTGAGATTACACTGGTTTTTCTTTATTTGCTCTGTGATTGGTCTAGAAAACTCGCACCATTCTCAACCCATCAGATGCAAAAATAACAGCATCACGACTTGATCGCCCGCGTTTTCCCGCGCTTTAGGTGGTTTATTTGATTTACTTTGATATCTCATTGGCTCTTCAGGTTATTTTTCTTTTTTCTGATTGGCCGTTGTGATTACTTTGGTTTTGTTTTACGACACTCAATCGAAAAGTATTCTATGCGTCGAAAGTAATGGGGGATTGAATTGCATAGATGCGCAGCTAAACAGATGGCGACTTGGTTACACGCGTTACATGTCTGTGTCTTTTTACTTCCACTGTCATAGACCTCTGACGATTTTTCCCTTGTTTTAATTGTTTGTTTTGATAACTGTGGTTTTCTCACTGGATCGAAATGCGCCCTTGTAGCACGTCAGTTTTGCTTGGTACCGTTACTTTTCCATTTCATGTAACACAATTCGCATAATAGGTAATTTGTCACTGTGCGTAATTGTTTGAAATATTTCCATTTTTAGGGACACCAGAAAAGAAATCTTTTGCGTGAACTGTTGCCTCATATTGGTAAGTTCATAATGGGGTTCTTTCAACCTTTTAGACCTTGTGAGCAACTAGCGTCTAATTTCTCCTTAGAATATAACCCCTGAATCACAATTAGTGTTACGAGAATAAAGGAAATGATCACAAACGAAAGAAGCTTTAGATTGTTAAGCAAATTCTCTTTGTCAGCACCTCGGGAAATGTATAGAGAACAGTATGTAGAATATGCATACTGATGGTAGGGTGTAAAGGGCTAAATGCCACATCGACGAATATGGTGAACTGTATAAACGAAGCTTCACATACCTTCCTTACAGTTATCGTCATTTATTTCACTGGACTTATTTATGGCGCGTTTTCTTTCAGGAACAAACATTCGTCTACAAAGGCTCTTTACAGAGTTCAGGGAGCAGCTAGACGCACTCAACGTGCGGTGACATACGACGGGTTCTGTAAGAATGAACTGCTTTAGAGGTGAACGTACTAGTGTTTGAACTGTGCAAAGGGGCGTGACGAGATGAGTGTCACGCACGGGTTAGTTCAAGTCACGGATGCTGTGACGTCCAGCGTCAAGTGTGGAGGATCAACAATGGGTAATATTCGAAAGACTTTCGCTTTAAAATGGCGAAAATAAATATCGCTTAGATTTCTCAGCAAATAACACATTACTCACTGAGTATTGGATGTCAGTCAAGCGAGGGGGCATTTGAGTGCACGGGACGTCTTGTTCCTTTAACAGAGTAGGAATCAGGAAACACAGCTCTTAGGCGCTGAGAGAAACATATTATAGCGACGATAGTTTGAATATCTGCATCATGTCTCGGAATAATTAAAAAGTGGGTCTTATTTTGGAATTATAACCGCATATCATGTAAGTGCTGTTGCCGTCCGTTGCTGTATTCATACCTCCCGCTTAGCTTTAAGGCCTACTAGAAAATTTCGTTGGAATTACATTATGTTTTACAGTGTTCTGTTACATTCTGGTTATACCTCTAATACTCTATTCACACCAAAGCGTAGACATGTTTAAAGCTGTTTTGCTATAGACGGTTGAAAATTGTTTTCTGCATCAAAGCAATGTTTGTCTACTTCAAATTTATCACTTTGAAGGTACAAGCTGGTGACTACTTGAATCTTATGGAAAATTTGGGTTTTAAGTTTTCTGTTTCTGATTTTCATTCGGTTAAATTCGGTTCAACTAAACATGTTGTACTGGTGTAAATGGGTAGAAGTCGATACAGAAGTTCTTTTTCATAAAAGTTTTCCACCTGAAAAGTTCTTTATTCAGTATTTTAGTGCACTCGATGTGTTAGCTGTGCGCTTCGCTCTGCACACTTACATGGTCGCCATAATTATTTTGCCGAGCGCTGTAAGATATCGCTGTTGAGGAGCGCTACTTTTAAAGAAGTCACACAATTATTCCTAGACCGACGCTATGAACTGAACTGTAGTATACTGATATTAAGCGTCGCATTCAAATGCTGGTAAATAAATATTTTGTTAGCAAAGGTGCGCTGTACACTTTGTGTATCTCAAATGCTAATTCTCATCGAACTAGTCAGTTTCTCCGTTGTTTATTCACAGCAGTCTTTGTGCAACTTCTTCTTGTCCTTGTAATCTTTACCTTAACCCTTTAACTCGGAACAGATCAGCATGTAACTTCTCCCTATAACATCCATACATTATCTAGCAAACAGGTAATGAGAATACTCAGACTTATGGAAGTTGCTGGGGACCTTAAGCAAACCACGACGGCGACGGCAACGAGGAAAAACAAAAGATCTAATTGGCAGAACAATAGCTCAGCACGTACGTTTTAAAACTTTGTACATTTCTTAGCCGCCTTACGCAAAACAAGAAAGTGAAATCACCACAATTAGCGTCGTCTGCAAACCGAAACCGCGACGGCGAATTATTTTAATTTCCATTCGAAACTCAACGCTTCTTTAATACGTTATGCTGAAGTTGAGGTGTGGCGCTGTATGAGATGGTAAACACATGCAGCCATTTTTAAAATTCTAATTAAAGGAAATTCATTTTTTAATCGAAGTCTTCCTTAGCGTTGATGTCCTGACTGCTTAAAGTCCCTGTTATCTTGATCTAACACTAAATTATCGTTGCTAATTTAATTTACAGGGTAATGTGTCGCAGCTAGAGGGCAGAATTAACAATTAGATCCTGGGAGTGAGAGGGTTTACTGAAGGCATTGTCTAGGAGCGGATTTCGTGGGACTTTATTTTTTGTCCATCCGGAAAGATGTTCGTGAAATTTTTGTATCCATTGTCAGCATTGAAGGTACACCTGGAAAATGAACCGCAATGAAAGGTGGCATAAATTTAGTCAGGGTTAAATCGTTCCACTTTGTCATTTGCAATCCGTGTCTTGTAATATTTCCTTTCCTTTCCTTACCCATCCTCATTGCCTTTTGTTTTTCGATTTCTTACCCCGCTATTAAGAGCATTCTTCTTTCACATCACAATAGTAACCTTATATCAACGGCGTATCTCCGTTTGCATCCTTTTCGTTTATCCTAGGCCTGTATGCCAAAACACCCTCACACAAGCTCCCCGCTAGTACTTCTCCCTCTTGACTTTCCTCTGTGAACTTGACAATTCCCTTGCTGCCAGCGGTTGAGTCCAGACGTTTTACAGGCTTTTTTCATTCCAGGTGTTTTATGTATGCAAACACCTTCGTTAAGGGTCAGAAACACCACATAATACCGCACGATCTTACCAGAACGAACTGTCACACTTCACGGTCTTGTGCAGTAGATCATTTCTAACCTACACGAACCTTAAAGTTTTGAAACGATTTTGAATTCAATATGATTTTGATTTAAATAAAATAATGAAAAATTGATTACAGTTTGGTTGCAGAATACTGAAATATTGAAGTAATGGCAATAATTTGATATAACAGCTCAGCAAATAAGGCAGACGTTATGAGAGAGAAGTTATGTATCAGTTTTCATATCACTTTCACTACCTTGTAAAAGCCAAATGGATATGCCGGTTGTGATACGAATAACAAAAAAAATAGATTTACTTCCCGGATTTTTCTTGAAAACGAAGCTGACATCTGCGGTCGTTGACTATGTATGAATCACGCGCAATGGGAACTAACAGTTGGTCACAAACACTTGTGATATCGTTTTTTGGTTTTCTTTTTGCATGCAATTTTCGCTGCGTTTTTTCATCGTTGGTCTTCTCATTAGTTTATATCCTATTCGCATTCGCAATTGTATCTCTCAATCGTTAATTTTGCATCAAACAACTTAGCACATTGCACAAAACACTTTTGGTTGTGGTGGGAAATTTCCTTCTTCTTACATCTGAGGTTCTCTAGAACTTAATTCACGTTCTTTCCCCAGTTTTTGCTAAAGCAAACGTTATCTTGAAGGTACGAATTATTCAAGAAAAATTAAAAAAGAAAAGAAATTGCGACGCCAGATAAACCCAATACCGCGATATGTTCAAACATGTTTATGTGTAGAGTCTGTCTTAGATTTATTGAGATGAAATTCTGAAAGACAAAAATAATAATTTTACATGTAATCCGCATGTTGCATTTTGAATATTAAGTTCTCAACTTGGAGTAGAAAAGCTGCATAGAATATGAGACCTTTTTAATTCTTTGAAAGCTATGACAAGGGAATTTGTTCGATCTGAAACTGATTCCAATTTTTTTGACGTTCAAAGATTAAATGTTCAAAATATTAAATGAATTTCTTGCAGGCATATTAAAAAAAAATGGGATTAATGCTCATAATCCTTTTAGAAATAACTTCGTTTTGAATAGATGTAAAATGTTTTTGGTTGGTAAGCTTTGCAGATCTTGGAAAAGGCTTTTTGGACGTTTTTTTCCCTATCTTTTGTTCTTTTCCTACCATGTATGATGGTTAAATCAGTCATGGATTAGGAAAAGTGAAATTTGACACTTTAAAGCTACTATTTAGCATGACTTCTTTCTCTCTGTTGCTAGGTTTGCTCGGAATGTTTTTTTTTTTGGCAACAGAATCGAATGAAGTTGTGTAGAGTCGGTTTCTTTGAAGATGACTACATTTTGAATTCCTCTTAATGAAGCAATGCGAGAAGTGAATATTAATCTTGCTTAAAAAAAGTGTGTAAACACTAAAATTATCCTCGTTAATATCATTAGCTTGCATTGATCGTTTTAGGCGTCAATACAAGTTGAACTGAAATGTATCGGTCAATCTCAGGAGTTGCTTCATATTTGTTGTCACAAAAACAGTGTATCGGCGATAGGAGTCTTGCTAAGCCTTATCAACTGTTTCCGTGTTGGACATTTGCCTAACATAGCGATATTCTCTTACGAACATCCGAAAAGAAAATCCTAAACGTGTTTCTAAAATCCCTGCCCTACCGTATGATTACGGAAAAAGGCCACAGACTTTACAAGTTTTAACACGCAGTGAATCACTCTTATCATGGGTCAGCGAGCGGTCCTGCGTACTTGTGGCGTTTTCTCAGCAAGATTTCGTTTCCCATCAAAAACACTGAACTTTGCGAAAATACCAGTTAAGTGCATAATGGAGTTATTCTCATTTTCATATTTTTTTCTACATGCTGTATATGTATTTTGGCGTGTTATAGCAGCTGTCGGTATATTTATCATTCTCGTTGCCCAAAGGCTGAGATACGAAAATCCAGTATTTAAATAAGATTATTGTTTCCATGTGATAATCAGGGTTGTATTGTCTTCATGTATTTTTTTCCTTTTTTTTTTGTTTCGATTTTCGTAGGCCAAAAAGGTTGGATTTTTAGTTTCCTAGACGAAGGAAATAGTAAAACAGATTGCTCTTAATAAAACGTATTTTCTGTCAGTAATTTATATTTCGTTTAGGTTTGCAAGTGGTTTCCATCAACATCAGAAACTAACAAGCGTTATAGATTTTTCAGATTATTTTTGATTCTGAATTGACCAGTGTTTTTTCTAGTCAGTTAACGAAGTTTAATAGCGATCGATTTGCAAGTAGAGGAGGATGTGGACAAAGCAAAGTTATCTGTTGGGTCTAGAGATACAGAGTTTTAATCAGCACTACCGATTGCGATCTGTTTACTCGAATATTTCTACACCATTAAACTTTAATGACTAAAACTGAATTTACAGCTAGAAAGTTTGTTCCCTATTGAAGTGGGGTATCTTAGCCACAGGATATTTACCTTGCAAAGTAATCTCGATTTAAAAAAATGTCTCAAAAATTAGCTAAAAAACGTACAACTAAAATAATTGGAAACCAAAAACTCCACCTGGCGTTGTTTTTCTGGAAGTAATTTGTGCCTGTTTGCGGAGGTGTTTTTGTGCCAATTGTTTACCAAAAGAAATAGTCTGGGAAAAATTTACCGCTCTGTCAAATTATAATCTTCACTCTACGTCGGTGATGTTTATGTTTTAAAAAGCAATTTTTAACTATAGTGCAAAGGTACATACTGCGATGATCGAAAAAGTTAAGCAATTTCGCGTTATTATGTAGTTCATAATTTTTTTACGCCGCCCACTCACACTCTAAAAATCCATTATTTCTCCATATTAGCACTGTACCTACGAAGCAGAAGGTTTGCCTTACCTCGACTGAGAAAAAAAAAAAGGCTCCCTGAAATGTCATCAGTTTCATCTCGCTACGTTGTTTGAAAAAGACCGTGAATAAATACGTGATGTTGTTGAAAATACGCTGGTATGTATTTCAAAGTGTTTTCCGTTCTGACACCAAACAAGGGAAAAGTGAAAGGGAAATGCTATTTCCCAGGAATCCTGTTCTTTCGCAGCTGCAAGAGTCGCATAGATGGGAAAGATCCCACCTCTTATGTCGCTTTGAGAAAGTACAAACATAACTTGTAATCGAGAACAAAAAATTTGCATGATAATGCTTTATCAAGACCAAGTAGTGCTCGTGTACGAAACAATACACCTTTTGGGGTTCAAGTAATATTCTGGTGTCCTTTCTCTTCGTCGCCTTTTATGCATGGTTTTTGTGTTTCGCAAAAGTGTTCCAAATTGAATTGCGGTTACATCTGAAGGGAATCGTGGTGTACTTAATGACGTGCCATTGTAAGGCTGTTTTGACTTTCGACCAAAGTGTTCTAGCTTTAATATCTAAAAACATTTTTGAATCTTTATTCTCAGTTTTTTTTTTAAATTTACTTTATCTTGAAACTTTTCTCTGATGGAATCAAGTCTTATGTTGTCTTCTCGATCAAAACATCGGATTAAAAAAAAAAAACGGTCTGGGTGGGCAATGCTGCAATATTTCTCCAGTTTTTATTTGAATTTATCATCAGACCTACTGTGATTGCTTGAGTTCTGTTGTTAAAAGATTGAGTGTTGTTGAAATTCTGACGCATGGAACAATACTCATGTTAATGTGACTTTGCGTGGGAGTGAGACACGTCAGTCAATGTTAGTGGAAGCGTGCGCATTACCAATAAATTCTGTGAATCTGGGTAACAACCTTAAAACTGCTATCACCAAACACTTTAGTCGGGTGAGCTA